CCTCCGAGACTCTCAGCCACACTCCCCACTGGTTTTTACCACTCGCAGTTACAGGGGTTTCTTCCCAGCTCTGGAACCCTGGACTGGGGGTCTGGTGTGGGGCTGGGATCCCTTGCTCCTCACGGGTGGCCTCTGCAGGGATGATCTCCCTCCCAATTAAATAAATGGCACACGAGGATGTCAGACCAGCCTGTTCTGTGCCTCAGTTCCTCCTACCAGTCTCAATGTGCTTTCTTTACTTCTCTAGCTGTAGTACTTCCATTAAGCCAGCTTTCAGGCGGTTCTGAATGATGGTGGTGCTGTATTTTAGTCGTAATTTTGATGTGCTTGTGGGAGGCAGTGAGTACCGCATTTACCTGTGCCGCCATCTTCTAGCTTTTTCTAATTTTCCTAACAATGTCTTTTGAAGTGCAAATGTTTTAAATTGTAACCAAGTTCAAGTTACCCTTTTTTCTTCTATGGTTCATGTCTTTTATATCCTACCTAAATAATATTTGCCTAGCCCAGGGTCACAAAGATTTTCTTGTTTTCTTCTAGGTGTTTATAACTTTAGCTTGTTTCTTTAGATCTATTACCCATTTTAAGTTAATGTTTATATATGGTGTGAGGTAAAGGTTGGTTTATATGTATAGTTTTTCTATGTGGATATCCAATTGTTACAGCACAGTTTATTGAATAGAATACCCATTTTCCACTGAATTACTTTGGCACCTGTGTAAAATCAGTTAACCTTAAATGCATGGGTCTCTTTCCAGATCCTTTATTTTTTTTCCCCATTGATCTAAATATTTATTTGTACAGCAATTTCACAAATGTCTTGAGTGTGATATTAAGTCTTTTAGCTTTGTTCTTTTTCAAATTTGTTTTAAATATTTTAGGTTCTTTGAATTTCCATGTTAATTTTAGAATTATATTATCAGTTTTACAAAGAAAAAAAGCCTGTTTAGCCATTGACTGAGATTATGTTGACTCTAGATCAGTGGCTCTCAACCTTGGCTGCACATTAGAATCACCTGGGAATCCTTTTAAAATCCTGATTTCTGGGCTTCATCCTCCGGAAATTCTGTTTCTTTGTTACTAATGTTGTGGACCCACCCCATAACAAAGAAACAGAATTTCCGGAGGATGAGGCCCAGAAATCAGGATTTTAAAAAGATTCCCAGGTGATTCTAATGTGCAGCCAAGGTTGAGAACCACTGCTCTAGATCATTTGGGGGGATTGACTTAACAGTTTTCAGTCTTCCAATCCAATATGGTGTCTCTGTCCACTTACTTAGATCTTATTTAATGTCAGTGATGTATTATAGTTTTCATAACATGGGTCTTGCACATCTTGTGCTACATTAATTCATAAATATTTCATATTTTGATGCTGTTGTAAATTGTATTTTTTCAAGTTTTAATTTCCAATATCCATCGATATTATACAGAAATACAAAAACGTTTTTGTCTATCAATCTTATATCCTGCAACCTTGCTTAACTCATGTATTATTTCTAGTAGCTTTTTGAGGTAGATTGCTTAGCATTTTCCACATGGTCAGTCATGTCATCTATAGAGACTTTTCCTTCTTTTCACTCTTTGTACCTTTTATTTCTTCTTATTGCAGTGGCTAAAACTTTTCACATTATGTTGAAAGGCGTTGTGAGATCCTTGCCTTGTTCCTAATCTTAGGGATAAAACAGCTTCCTTTACTGTTAAGTGTGATGTTAGCTTTTGGTTTTCACAGATGCCTTATATTAGATTAAGTTCCTTTCTAGTTTGCTGAAAATTTGCATCATTACAGGGTATTGAATTTTCTCAAGTGCGTTTTCTATATCTATTGAGATAATCTTCCTAAAAAATCTGTTAGTAGTAGGACTTTCATTGTAACATTATTATATATTGTCATTTATTTCATATAACATTTCATGAGGTCGATATATCATTGATCAAATTCAAATAAATGCAATCCTAAACGCTTGAAAAATGGTTTGCTAAGTGAATATAAATAGTGAACAGAAGGGAATAGGAAAATTTAACCTAGAAATGAAGAGAGAATTTGAAAAACTACAGATTATACAAATTCATTAATTAACATATTCTATCAGTACATTATAGATGGTTTAATAAATATCATTAGTTTTTATTTTAGGAAGGAATATCTTCCTCAAGGAGGGAGGTTGTTAAGGATCTATAATAAAATATTTAGAAATGAATAAAACATTTTAAAATGTACATAATTTTATTGGAAATTAAATAGATTGGATATTTTCAGTAACTCATTTTTATAAATAACACTTTTGTTTTATTACTGTTTTTAGTAGAATCAAGTCTCTTTCTTTTGCCTAATTCTTGGGATTGGTTTTATGAAAAGTTAGTTTTTGATGTTGCTTTGACTTGAGTGTTTTCAGACAGAGTTGTATCACTTCAAAGCTCTAGTAAGTTTAGAATCTCATGTGGAGAGTCTAATATGTTTTGTTTTGTTTTCCCTCTTGTTTTTAGTTAGGCACACGTACTATTTAGTTTATACTGAACTGTTTTATCCCCTGAGCTTTGTTTCTCAGTGATCACTATTAAATGATTGTCATGGCTCTGAGTCGTAGCAATGTGAATTACATATCCTTAGTTCTGGCAATACATTGTGAAGAGAAAGTATTACTGTACTGCAAGTAGCCAGGATGTTTGTTTGCCACGTATGCATTATTCTGGATTTATGCAAACCAACTGTAGTTTGCTTTGTGGTTAACCTGAAGAAAAGGCTGTGGTTTTGTTTTTATCCTTAATCTTGAAACAGGAGGACATGAAGTATTTTTACACCTGGTTCAAAACTCCCTTATTTGATTATTCTGGTTTGCAATTGCTATTAATATTTTTCTTATCTGGCTAAGCTTAGGGTTTGAGTTTCATACTCAATTTCAGACATCAGTGTTTGTGTGTGTGTATGTGTGTTGCAAAACTCTAAAAATAGCAGTATGAAGCTTTCTAAGTAACTCTTGATCTTAAAGGAACTTTTAAAAATCAAATTAATATTTGAATGATATCTTTTGAAATACATCAGCAAAATTTAAAAATACTATTTTTTTTTAGTTTTAAGTGTTTTTATATGTGTTGATATGAAACTGTAAAGCAATAAAAATAGTGTGCCTTCTGGGAAATTACAATTCTATTGGAATTAACACTGAAAAAGTAGTTAGGAACTTGTCATGTAAAAGACACATTACAATAACTAGGAATTTATACTAAAAATTACATATAATATTAAAATTACAAAATATCCAATTCAGAATTTAGTAGCTGCACATGACGTGTAATTATATCAAAACATTTGTTGCACTTTTTAAAAATATCTAAAGGACTGCAGTCTTCAATGCTTTTTTGTATTCTCTAGCCTACTTTATTTGGGGCAGGATGGGAAGGTCTTTCCCTTTCTGTTGACCATGTATTTAGTGTTCCTGACCTCTATTTTATTTTTCTGCTGCTAATGTGCTGTGAGTTTGGAATTACGTAATTGGATTTAGGATAGAGTTGGACTTGGAATCAGGAATATTGTTGCTGAACTTCAAAAATTAAAAATCATATGGGCATACAAGTATAGGAGGAACAAGAAAGTATAAATTGATGTCTTCAGTTTGATAGTAGCTATCAAAAATTAAATATCCATACCTTTGACTCATCGGGTCTACTTCTAGGGATTTAATCCATAGCAATACAAACATGTGTACAAAAGATATATTGCATATAGATGTTTATTAAAGCTCTAGAGGCCCAGTGCACGGATACATGCACCAGTGGGGGTCCCTTGGCCTGGCCTGTGGGGATCAGGCCGAAACCGGCTCTCCGACATCCCCCGAGGGGTCCTGGATTGCGAGAGGGCACAGGCCAGGCTGAGGGACCCCACTGGTATATGATCGGGGCTGGGGAGGGACTGAAGGAGGGCTCCAGGCGTGTCTGGCCCATCTTGCTCAGTCCCAGGCGGGGCTGCCTGATCGGGGCTGCCTGATCGGGACTGGCCCGCCAGGGAGGGACCATGGGAGGTTGGCTGGCCGGGGGTGGGGGTGGGGGGGGGGTGGGGGGGGGAAACCGCAGTAGGACTCCAGAATGTGTCCAGCCCATCTCGCCCAGTCCCAATTGACTGGACCCCAGCAGCAAGCTAACCTACCCGTCGGAGCATCTGCCCCCTGGTGGTCAGTGCGCATCATAGCAATTGGTCGAACGAACAGTCAGACACTTAGCACATTAGGCTTTTATTATATAGGATTGTTGATGTAGTGAATAATTGAGTTCAACCTATATGTTATTAATAGAGGAATAAGTAAATTTGAACATGTTTGTACTCTGGAATACTGTGAGGAGAGGGTACTATGAAGTGTGGAAGCTCTGGAGTCAAGTTGTCAGGTTTGAATTCTGAATCTATCATTTGCCAGATGCATGACATAGGGCCTTAGTTTTCTCATCTATAGAATGGAGGTAATTGAATCTATTTGTGTGACTATTAAACCAAATTGTATAGATCAGTGCGTAAAATATAAGTGCTCCATAACATTAGTCTATGTTAATGTATGACTTTGCAGTTAATAAAATGAATAAAAAACATTTATAAAATTCTAGCATGGAAAATCCCCACCATAATTTAAGTAAACATATTTTAGAGCAATGTGTTCGTATGATATGAGCACCTATTTGTAAATAAAAATTTTTAATGATGTATGTTCATATATCTTAATATATGTAGATAAATCTGGAAGGATAAACTCCCATCTTAACAGTAGTTACCTCTTTTGAGTGAAGTTGGGTGGAGGGGAAGCAGATTATCATGTTTTTAAAGAAATGTTTTATTTTTTAAAGCATGTATTACATTTATAACTACATTTTAGAAAAAGATTCCATAGACTGTAAGAATGGTAGCATTTTTTGACTAGTCTTTATTTTACTTAAAAAACAAAAGAAAACAAAACTGAAAAGGTTTTGTTCTCTAAATGATGTGTCTCACTAGTGACTCATTCAGATTTTCCTTGTAGGAACATGCTTACCCCGCTGATGAACTCATGCCTTTAACCTGCAGAGGTCGAATTAGAGGCGAGGAGCCAAGTCGGGGTGATGTTGATGATGCCTTGGGAAAGTGAGTATTAATACAGGGATGGCAGGCATCTCAACGTTCCTAAGTCTGAGACTTCTTGCAGTGGTTCTCAACCTTCCTAATGCCGCGACCCTTTAATACAGTTCCTCATGATGTGGTGACCCCCAACCATAAAATTATTTTCGTTGCTACTTCATAACTGTAATTTTGCTACTGTTATGAATCGTAATGTAAATATCTGATATGCAGGTTGTATTTAGGCGACCCCTGTGAAAGGATCATTCGACCCCCAAAGGGGTCGCGACCCACAGGTTGAGAACCGCTGTCTTAGAGGCAATGTACAGTTGTGTTTCTGGGGATCGCTTGAATTTCAGTGACTGCTTTAAGTGTTACATTAAGTTTCTTTCTTCCCTCTGTTGTCTTTTGTAAAAAAATCAATTTGTCTCTTAATTTAGTGAAAAGTTGAGTTGTTTAAGAAGGATGTCACTTTTAACGTATATAAAGTCATTGACATAAGGTGTTGATGCTTTAATATTTTTATTTGCATTAAAAAGAGCTAGTGAATATTTCTATTCATTTTGAAGGATGTGGAGCTGAAAATAAATATAATGTTAAGGCTTTTACAGTTCTTCCAGTGCCTTATAGGTTAAATTGTACTACAGATGCATGGGGTACTAGTTAATAGAAACTGCCAGTCAGTAGGATATAGATCCATCTGCTTATACATTCATGGCTAAAATAATCAGAATTCTAATGTTTTGTATCTCATTATACTTGTTTCTTAGATTTTCCCTGACACTGATTGATTCTTTGGACACTCTTGTGGTAGGTTTGATTTTTCTTGAATTTACTTATGTTATAAATTTCATAATATGCACACAGTAAGTCTGAAATAGAAGCCTTTAGAATTCCATATGTATTGATCTTTGCTTCTAAATAAATCTTTTACACTATTGAGTTACTAATGTCACATGAATGTCAGATGAAATTCTGTGAAATCATGAAGATACTCAGATAATTTATAGGTATGTCAGCTTATATGATGACACCTTCTTAGGAAGGTTGTTGCTGCAGAATTTACGTGGATTTTGAGAATGAGAAGGGAAAGCAGTCAATTTAAAATCAGGTTTTATATTATATTTTACTCAGTCCTTACCCTGAATTTTACTTTTACCTGAATTTCAATCAGGTCTTCTTACGGAATATTTCATGTCTAAGTTAGAATTTTTAGTGAGAGTATCAAATCAAGTAAAACATTACAAAATATTATCAAATGAAAAGATTAAACAGTCAAGCAAAGGAAAACTGCTTTAAAAATTTTATGTATTGATTTGAGAGAGAGAGAGAGAGAGAAACATTGATTTATTTGTGCATTCACTGGTTGATTCTTGTGTGTGCCCTGACTAAGGATCGAACCTGCAACCTTGGCATATGAGGATGATCTAACCAACTGAGCTACCTAGCCAGGATCAGAAAACTACTTTTAATGGATCTAGGATCTAACTAACATCTAATTGTGCCATCTTAATTTAGACTGAAAAATCAGTGCAACCTGTGTAGTGACAGTGACCCCTTCATGGAACTCATTGCAAGAATCCATGGAGTTCGTAGCTTAGCCAGGATTCTAGACCCTTGTGGTGGTAGTAATAATAATAATAATATTAAGCACTTAAGTCAGACACTCTACTAGAAGTACTTCACATACATTGCTTCGTTTAAGGAAACAATCCTATGAGAGTAGGTATTCCCTCTTTTTGTAAATGTAGGAACTAACTCAGAGATGGAAGTTACTGTGATTAGATAGGTAATGAGAAGGAACCAAAATTCAAATCAGAGCTTGCTCTTAACCTCATGTTGTAGTGCCTCCTTAGTTCAGGGTTGGGGCATCCATGTGGTGAAGGTGGCAGGTGGTGTATGGTTTAGGGTCAGTGGATCATCCCCTGAAGGATGTGCTTTCTTTCAGGAAGCAACTTCTAAAATGATGTTTAGTGCATAGGATGGTTTTTTTGTTTAGACTTGGAAACCACATCCCTGTGGAGCTCACCTCAGGTAGCTGTAGGTCATGGATTATATATATTAAGAAACCAGTTAACAGTTCTGATGATGATTGATTAAAGTCCTAATAATATTTCAGTGTCTTAAAAAGAAGTTTATAAAGAGTCCTTATAATATAGTTAAGCACTTGTTTGTTTTCATTTTAGATATCACATTTTTATTATATGTTTAAGGGAAATATTTTGTATGTGTTGCTTTTTAGAGTCATAAGATGTTAATTTGCTTTTAGTAGCTCATTCTGAGGATATTTTTCTTTGACTTTGTAGTAAATAACGATTTTTCTATTTTTCTAGGTATTAAATAAAACTAAAGAATTTGAAGATGCAGTGAAAAAAGTTTTAAGAGATGTTAATTTAGATAATGATGTAGTTGTATCAGTCTTTGAAACAAACATCAGAGTTCTCGGGTAAGTATGTAAGACACTAAAGCTATAATTTTAATAACAGAAAAGCTTAAGGTATACTATTTATTTCTTAATGGTAGTAAAGCAAGACATTTCTTATGCCTAAAAGATAAAAGTTGGGGTATTATGAAACAGGCTGTGAGAGGACTGTGAATTGAATCAGGCTTAGATAGCAGCAGGTTTTGGAAATAGTTGTAGACTCAGTATATGTCCCTGTATAGTGTTTAAAAGACTCGGTTGAATGTTTGCCTGTTAGCTACATCACAGGTTTTTCACTAGCAATATAGTTTGCTAACCTTTGCCAGCACTTCTTCAAGCCAAATGAAACTAAATTTATAGGATTACCTTTCAACTACACAATTTGAAATACTCTTGGAACATTTAAAAATATGAATTATAATATTCAGATTTCAACACTATTAATTTCTATATTTAATGATTACTTTCGTGTTGAACTCATTTTCTTTTGTCAAAGTAAGTCTGTTCAATTAAATTTAAGAAATTTTTAAAAGTTAAAAACAAGTTAAGAAATAGTTATGTAGCTTTTCTGACTTTATTCATCCACTGAGCCAAACCGGTTTCGGCTGTTTTTAATTTTTTAATGTTATACTTAAGAGAGGTAAAGATTTCATAATGAAATAATTAAATTAGTTAAATTAAAATTTTGTTAAAATTAAATTTGTCAAGCTTGTTAAAATAAGTGACTTCTTGATGTTCTTTAAGAAAATTTTAGACTTTTAAGAATGCCAAACACTTTACAACAGGTAGAATATCTGAATTTTTTTAATACTGGCTTCATAATTATAAAGGTTTGCCATAAATGAGTAGCTAGAGTTAGGTAAGAAATTAAATTCTTCTGTGGTCTTTCCTTATGTGTGCAAAATTGTTGATAACAAGACACCCACATCTTTTTTTTTTTTAATATATTTTTATTGATTTCAGAGAGGAAGGGAGAGAGAAACATCAGTGGTGAGAAAGAGAATGATTGATTGGCTGCCTCCTGCACGCTCCCTACTGGGGATCGAACCCGCAACCCAGGCACGTGCCCTTGCCCGAAATGAAACTCTGGACCCTTCAGTCCACAGGCCAACTCTCTATCCACTGAGCCAAACTGGCGAGGGCAACACCTATATCTTTGTAGGTGTTGACGTTCGCGTACCTGTAAGATGTGGATTATGTTTCACCTTTGTGATTGCAGGGGTCTTTTGGGTGGACACTCCTTGGCAATCATGCTGAAAGAAAAGGGCGAGTACATGCAGTGGTACAATGATGAACTTCTGCAAATGGCAAAGCAATTGGGTTACAAGCTTTTACCAGCTTTCAATACTACCAGTGGCCTTCCTTATCCAAGAGTAAGTAATTTTGAAAAATATATACTTTATATTTTTTTGTATATAAAGTCTTTATATACTGCCTTGGCTATTTAAAACAACAACAGTGAATTTTTGTGATTGGAGCCATTGTTCCTCTCCTGCTTGAGACTGGAGACAAGTGCTTTATAGCGAAATAAATTTATATTGACATTTCAGTTAATTTGGATTTGAGTGGTGTGAGAATTTAGATGATTTTAAACCTTTTATGTGTCACTGCATAACAGATTAGATTATGCTGCAGAGGGGAAAAACATGCCAGACTCAAATTTGGGTACAGAATGGGTGGTGCAGAAGATGCAGTCGAAGCAGTGAGAGTAGGTGTTAACTGTCCAGAGGAGAGGTTAGAGAGAGAAGGGGAATAGGGAGCAAGTGGAGCGGTGAGGAGGGGAGTGTGCAGGGACGGAGGGAGAAGAAGTACAGAGTAGTGTATGGCATCAGAAAATCTTAAGTAGAAAGCTCCAAAAGGAGATGTTCTAGAAAACATTAGAACTATGTGCAAAGAGAGCCTTGAAGATGTAACGTGGTAGAATAAAGGGGAAAGAAGGGTTCAGTCGATGAAAGTATAGGACCATTCATTTTGAGATTTCTTCTCTGTTGGTTAGAGTCATTTGGTGGCAGAGTCATTTGAAGGAGTTTTAGGCCCCCTCCCCACCCCCACCCCCCACCAAGCAAAAAGGTTATATTTAAAGCAAAGGGTTAGAAGCCTTCAAAGATAGAAAAAAACTCTCTTCTCTGATTTATTTCATTCTTTATTAACACCATTACTCTCTCCCTCTTACCAAATCAGACACCTCAGCCATTACCAAGCTCTGTTCAGTTTTTTCTTATTGCTACTACTCTAGTTGAAACCAATATCATCTTATTGTGAAGCTATTGTAAATGCCTGTCTTACTATTTTCTCTCTGGTTTATTCTTTAGAGACTTAAAAAATGAATCTTACTAAAACATTTTTATTAAATTATCCTCAGAAGTTTTGACTCTCTCTGTTGTACTACATGTCTTAACTTTCAGAATTCCTTATGGTGTGGCAATAAACTTCCTTTCTGATGGTCTCTCGTACCCTGAACCTCAGCGAAATGAGTACTTCATTTCAAAACAATCTATTAGTGTCCCCCAAACCACCTGGGGTTTTACTTATTATTTTTTTCATTGCCATGCCGTTAAGCCTGCATCTATATAATCTGGAATAACCCCTTTACCAATATAAATCAAATAAAACTCATTTCCTCCATCAAGAAGTCTCTGACTAGAGATACAGCATGATATAGGGCAGTGCTTCTCAAATTAGAGATCACAGCCCATTGATTTTACCCACCCATATAGTGGATTGTAACCAACACTTTTTTTCCCCTTGAAACAAACTTACATTAAATCTCTTATTTAAATTTCTAGTTTTTGATATTTTAAATAGCTTTTCTTTATACATATCTTTATACTTATTTCTTCCTTAGGATAAATTACTAGAATAGGAAATAATAAGCCACAGAAATAGAGATTGCTTTTTAAGATTTTGGGAACTTATTGTCAATTGTTCTTCAGAAAGTTTCCACTTTTGTAGTTCCTCAGTGTTGTATAAAAGTATATGTGTTACTGTACTGTTGCCCTTAGTGTATATTATCATTCTTTTCTCAATCTAATGAGAAAAAATTGGAATCATCATTTTTTGCAGTACTGAAGCCAACATAGCGACCCACTCACCGTGTCTCACCTACATTTCACTTTTGTTGTCTTTGTTGATGTTGCCTGTCTCCTTGCTCAGATAGTCTTAGAGTCTTTTGATTGGCATTGTTAAGGTAATAGGCATCCCCACTGATTGGTTTCTGCAGTTAAGTAGAAATATACATTTATTTGAGCTTCTCTTTATAAGAGGCTGAAAAATAACTGATTTGGGAACATACTCATGATGTTTTATATTTGATTTTTTGTTTTTATGCTAAATCGTTGGCATTTACTTTCTTTTTGGTTATTTATTTGGACTACAGTAAAACATTCTATTTTTAATCAATATCTGGTCAGTTTAGTTCTGGTTAATCCAGGTTTATACTGTAGTATCATAAAAAGACAGTATGGCTGTTTTTGAATTATAAAAAAGTACTCCTTTGAGAAAAAAGTTTTGTACTATTTGTTAGTCTATTAGCAAAGCTGTACTCAATATTTCAAAACTTTTAAAACCTGAAAACAAAATTTTAAGTTCCTTTTAAATATATACCATGATTTAATCAGTGTATATAAAGAAATGAAGAACTATTTAATATGGTACTGGTTTTTCAGAAATTCTCAAGTAAACCTAATTTCTAGGGTTGGTCTAGTTCCCTATTCTTATATTAATTAGTTAAAATGTCCTGAAAACAAAATTGTTACAGAACTTATTTTCTCTGTGTAATTCTTACAATGATAGTGAGTTTCAATATCGTTGAGGAAGGAACTAAATGAAAACTTATTAACTCCATGAATATACTTCCCTAGATGTTAATTGGAAAGTCACAAAGATCAACAGATGGAATTTCAATGTTTAGTTGTTTTGTGAATTATTTTCATATTTTGATAAGTCTCGATTGAAAAATTTTATCTTATCTAGGAATCACTATCTTTTGATAATTGCTAATAATCACCTTCTGACTTTATTTAGATTAATTTAAAGTTTGGTATCAGAAAACCAGAAGCTCGGACAGGAACTGAGACCGATACCTGTACAGCATGTGCAGGTACCTTGATCCTTGAGTTTGCTGCTTTAAGTCGATTCACAGGAGCAACAATATTTGAGGTTTGCTTTTCATAGTCTTTGATCTCCTGGGTATTGGGCATAACTAATTTTATATCTTTTTTTCATTGGTCAGCTATTAGGATTATCAATCAAAGGATTACTGTTATTTTAGTGTACTTTTGTCTAAATTTTATCACAGTCTGTCAGAAAATATAGAAGTCATTGTGAGGTAAATGTGTTAAATACAATTTTTCAAATGAACACTAGTTGATTTATTGACTCTTCTCTCACAAAGTTACATGCTATTTAAAAAGTGGATCTGAAATGCTTGTTTGTTTCAAAGATGGTATACAAACTTGTCTCCTCCAATTTTCTAAATAAGAGTCTAAGGAGATTTTCACTTGGAATTTAAATGACAGAAATTATTTTATCAAATGCATTTAATTATGCCAGAAATTAGTACACTTTAATAATACATGTGTATGAATGTGAACTTGTACTGCAAGTGTAAATGAACCTGGATGGTTTTAAAGTAAGATCACTGCCACTAAATAGCATTTTTAGAGCCATTATTTTTAACTAGATTTGATTGGCTGAAAAAAAGCCAAAATTTGGCTTGTAAGGAAATTTAACATATATTATTAATTGTTATCTTGGGAATTTTAGTTAATCCTTAAAGTATGCTATGAGTCTTTGATTTTTGTTTCTTTGTTTCCTGTTTTCCAGAGACATGAAGTTATTCAAGTATGCTTTTCCTCTTTTTAATTACAGGAATATGCAAGAAAAGCTCTTGATTTTCTCTGGGAAAAAAGACAGCGAAGTAGTAATTTAGTAGGTGTGACCATAAATATCCATACAGGAGATTGGGTGCGAAAAGGTATGTAAGTTGGCTTTTTCAAATCAAGCTTCTACATCAGTGTTTCCCAACGTGGGGTACAACCCCACAGGGGAGCAATTTGATTTTTAAGGGGGGGAAATTCGAGAATGAGTTATTAACAGTGAAGTTTTTGCATTTCTTATGGTTCTAGGGGCCTCATACTAGTATACAGTATATCAGAGGTCCTCAAACTTTTTAAACAGGGGGCCAGTTCACTGTCCCTCAGACATTCCACACATGCGCACTGCGGGCCCGGGACGAGTCGGCTGCTAAGCAGGACAGGCAGCGGTGGCAAAAACACCCGGCGGGCCAGATAAATGTTTTCGGCGGGCCACATGTGGCCAGCGGGCCATAGTTTGAGGACCCCTGCAGTATATAAATATATATTGTGACATATTTATGCATTTCAGTTCTCTATTATGTTTTGAAACTTGATTTGCTATTTTTTCATCTCACTTTATATTATTATTAGTAGCCCTGCGCACGAATCTGTGCGCCAGTAGCTCGCCAGTAGCTTGCTGCCGCCCTCCAGTAGCTCTCCACCTGCTGCCCCACCCTCCTGTAGCTTCTCCTGCCTCCCGTCTCCCCCACTACCCCCCTCATAGTTTGCTGCCCTGCCCCCTTCTGTAGCTCTCTGCCGCCCACTTGTAGCTTGCTGCCCCACCTTCCTGCTGATCTGTGATCCCGTCCTTACGTGGTCGGTCGTTATGCTTCACGGCGTAATGACCATTTGCATATTATATCTTTATTATATAGGATCTTTTTAACAATTTCTTAGTTATTTCTTCCTCAGTACTTCAACTGTCCTTTTGTTCTTTTCTTTTTCTCTGTCATGGATGCCGTGTTCTTTGGAAGCTTGTTTAGACCAAATTAATGGCCTTTTAGGCTTCCTCCATGTGAATAGGAGTTCACTTTTTGAATAATAAAAATTATATGTCACAGAGGGGGCATCAGGATTTTAGAGATGCTTAGGTGGGGCATGGCCAAAAAAAGGTTGGGAACCCACTGCTCAGCATCCTTAGAATGGTTTGGAAATAAAGGATTTTCATTTGTTAAAATAATTTTTGGGACAGTATAAAGCAGTGTTTCTCACAAGAATCCTGAAATTATCACTAATTAGCCTGATTGTTTTCTTTGGTGTGCCAAATAATAGCACACTTTTTCTAGGTGATTTAGTGTTCTATTTCATACCTTAATGGATTTAGCATTAAAGATAGAGGGTGTAGTTGAAACAGTAGAACTAATTTGAGAACCTCAGCCATCAGAATACCTTAGCCAGCTCACATGAAGGTATAGTTAAGTGGAAATCTGTATTTAACAATGTTCTTAATAATTCTTATTAAAATTATTTTGAATTATGAGACAAAGCATATAACAATGTTATATGAAGAAACAGGATATAGGATTGTATAAAGAATATGATTTTATCTTGATAAAATAAGCATAGATGAATGGAAATATATTAGAATACTAGTGACCTGACCTGGGACCCCGCCTGCACCTCGGGACTGCCCCGAGTCCCAGAGTCCTGCCGGCTGCTGTCCCCAATGCACCTCCTGGTCAAGTCCCCACCCACCCGCGTGCGCCTCACTGCTCACCCAGCCCCGCCCATGCTGTGCATGCAGCCTCCTGCTGATGGGGTGTGAGGGCATCACAACCATTTGCATATTAGCCTTTTATTATATAGGATTCCTAATGAGGTTATCTTTACATATTTTTCTATTTCCCAAAAGGCTTATGTTGTTACATCTAAAATAAAAAATAACTGCCTATAATTAAATAAATTAAAAATAGAATTACTAATTTGAATATATTAAAATTTTGACTCTATTCAGTATTGTATATAATTTTTCTAAGTTTTATCTAAATGGTTTCTGAAACTAATCTAAATCCTGGCTTTAGAATTCTGCAATTTCTTTTTATTCTTTTACTTGTGTTGGAACTCAGGTGCAAATTAATCATTAATTAATTTTAAATTAGTTTTAATTGTTGACTTATCACACTCTCATCATTGGTCCATGCATGACCTATTTTATTTAGTCATTTTTAATATGTAACAAGCACCCACAAATGGATCATACATTACAAAAGCAACTTACTTGACAACCCATTATTTCTGCATATGATCCTTGACTCTGCCTACCTCTGGAGTATATTTGGACTTATTTATATCATCTTTATTATTTCAGTGTGTCCCACCTTTTCTGTTTCTCTTTAATTCTTTTTTGTTAATTGAACCCTATAATTGCCTCCTAGTAAGACGTGAACTTTAGTATGCTCTCCTATCCCTTTGTCTCCCCACAACTCCACTCCGTAATCCCTCTTTATGTCAATATCATATAGATAATGCATTCTTATTATGAATACCTTTTCTCTTTTTTTCTTTGGTCTTAACTCCCTCTTTCTTTAACGATAAACTTTATTAAGATATTCGGTCACTTGTATTTTGGTCTTTTTTTTTTTAATCCTCACCCGAGGATATTTTTTCCATTGACTTTTAGGGAGAGTGGAAGAGAGAGGGAAAGACAGAGAGAAACATTGATGTGAGAAAAACACATCGATTGGTTGCCTCCTGCTTGAACCCCAACCAGGCCCCGGGCTGAGGAGGAGCCTGCAACCAAGGTACATGCTCTTGACTGGAATTAAACCCTGGACCCTTTGGTCCACAGGCCTGTGCTCTATCCACTGAGCCAAACTGGCTAAGGTTGGTCACTTGTACTTTGTATATCACTTGCAATATCTCTTAGATTTGTCTCTTTTTTTTTTTTCTGGTATTTATCCCAAACAGTTTTTAGTAGCTTTAAATAACTTCTGAGGCCTTATATGCCTAACAGTAATTTTATTATGCTTTCACATTTGAGTGATAGTTGAGCTGGATATAATTTTCTGTTTAAGTTCTTTTCTTTCAAAGAAGTCTTTGAAAATACAACTCTATTGTCTTCTTATATCCTGTTAACAATCTGATATTCTGATTTTTATGCCCTTGTATATGATCTATTCTTTCTCTCTGAAAGAGGAAGAGTATCAAAGCCAAAGAGAAATTTCTAAAAATGTTGTTATAATTTTAGATGTAGAATTTTCTCATTTTGGTATTCTGTGGACCCTTTCTATTTAAAAATCTTTAAGTTTTTAATTTATGAAAAATTGATGCTTATTTTTTAGATACTTAATCTTTTCATTTTTACTTATCTCTTTTTGTAGTTCCTATTATCAAAATCACTTCTGTTTGTATCCTCCACATATCTTAGCATATGTGTATATGTATATATATATTTTTTGTTTTTGTTTTTTGTTTTTTTGGTGCCCTTGACCGGAATTGAACCTGGGACCCTTCAGTCCACAGGCCGATGTTCTATCCACTGAGCCAAACCAATCAGGGCTATATGTATATTTTTTATGTTTCTCAGTTTTATGTCCCATCTATTATGTTATTTTAACTGTTATATATGTATTTTAAAGTGTCTCTTTTTAAAAATATATTTTTTTATTGATTTCAGAGAGGAAGGGAGAGGGAGATAGAGATAGAAACATTAATGATGAGAGAGAATCATTGATTGGCTGCCTGCTTAATGCCCTCTATTGGGGATCGAGCCTGCAACCCCGGCATGTGAACTCACCGGGAATTGAACCATGACCTCCTGGTTCATAGGTCAATACTCAACCACTGAGCAACACCAACCAGGCAACTGTTATATATTTTATTTCATGTATTTCTGCTCAGTTAAAATTTTTTTCTTATTTTGTATTGTTAATATCTTCCCTATCACTTTTAGATGTTTATTAGGCTAATTTAAATTTTTTGGTTTGCTATTCTATTAATTATTTTTCTGACATACTCTTATTCCAGTATTCTCTTGTTCTTTTTAAAGTCATGCTTCTTAAATGTTTTGGACCTATAAGTTCCTATTTCCTTGTCACCTACTTTGAGGCAAGATCTAATCCTAATTTCTATCTAGCTCAGTGGTCTTAGGCTTGAATTCTAAGAAGTTTTTAGAAATACCAATACCTGGAACCCTAGAGATTCTGATTCAGTTGCCCTGGAGTGTGCCCTGGGTATAGGGATTTCTATAAATTATAATTTATAGAATTATTTAGATAATTCATTAGCCTTAGGAGTTTGGAGGGGAAAGGTGGGGAAGAGAATGTTTAAAGTTATTTTCTGCCTCATTTGTCCAGCTCCTTCTGCAGGGCTTCTGTGCTGCCCTGGTTTTTACCCCTGAGGATACCTGGAGCATAGATCTGACTCGCAGCAGGTGTGGGAGGAGACTTGGTGTCTTAAGGCCATGGTAGGAGAGAAGCAAGAGCAAAGCTCCAACAGTGTCCCTCCTCTTTGATTCTTCCGTAGCATGCCTGGCTGCCTCCACTCTAAGCCAAAGCCATCCCCACCCCTCTCCCCCATCCCCACCCTCTGCCACCAGGTTTCATACTTTTCTTGTTACTTTCTCTTTTTGAATCTCCATGAAATTCTTGGAGGAAGAAGCCAACAATCAGTACTAATTTTAACAATTAGAATGGATACATCCAAACAGTAGCCTTGTTTACGTATCTATTGTAACTTTAAACATTGGTCTTCTTGATTAAGGGTCTGATAAAAAAAAAATACATAATTAGTGATTCCTCTTTGGAGTTCCTCACTGAGAAAATGAGCTTAAAACATTCTTAAAACTAGTATTTCCTGCTTTTCAGTAAGACTTTTGTAAACCATTTTGCAAAGTAGCATTTTTTAACATATAAACTATGAACAAAAGAACAGTTATTCATATAATAGGGTTAATATTTCTGTAAATGTGTAATTTTTACTTTAAACAGTTTCATGTTTAGACTAATTTTTCATTCTGAGTGTACTAGTACCCTCAGTTGTGCTATACAAATAATTTTTTACTAGTTTAATAAAGAATTATGTATGTGTTTCCCATAGATAGTGGAGTTGGAGCTGGCATTGATTCCTATTACGAATATCTGTTGAAAGCCTATGTCTTGCTTGGAGATGACAGTTTTCTGGAAAGATTTAATACAGTAAGTTGATCCAATTTTGTATTAATTTTAGAGCCAAGTTAATTTGCCAGATTTTGATAGAAACTCAATTATTTGAGTTATATTCTGAAAAATAATTATTTCTAAATGTGTTGTAGGTTTTTTGTCAGTATTCGCTGATGATATTGGACAGGGAACAGGGTAAAAGCTATACATTCAAAAATTAGTTTACAAAGTAGTTTTATTTTCATCTCTTATCAGAAGATTTCAAGATCTGCCAGTAAGTAATATCTAATATTTTATGCAAGGAAGAGAATTTATTGGAATAAATTACTCGTTAGCTTTTTCCTTTGGATTCCCCCCCCCCCTCCCCATTTTTTTTTTTTTTTAAACTTGGAAGTTTGACATAGTCCTTGATCACACCAAGCATGCAGGTTTTTGGAAACTTAGAGAAACTAGTAAGTATTCATTTCAAAAGCAGGTCTATAAGTCTCAAGTCTAGATCAGAGCCACAGGCATATTTTAGGGGAGAAGGAGAGTATTATTGAACCTGATTGGATCACCTTTGTCTGTAATTGAAGGAAACTGAAATTAGTACAGCAAACTCATCAGTTGTATCACTGTATTCTTTTTGAAATAATTTACCAGTTCTTTGCCCACCCATCAGTTTCTTCACATTATTGTGAGACAGTATGATATAGTAGTTAAAAGTATGGCAGTTTTCGTACCTGGGTTTAAATCCTGGTTGTACAACTGGTTTTGTGACTTTGGGAAAATAATTTTACATGCTTTGTCTCTGTTCCTCATCCACAAAATGTGAGTACTATTACTATTTAGAGAGTTTTGGGTAGGATTAAATGAGTTGATGCATATGGAGTGATTAAATAAATAGTAGATGAGTTAGGAAAAAAACCACTGGTAAGCGTCCCAAGTAAGTCCTCATTTGGATTATAACAACATTCTCTTGTAAATGAGGACAGATAATTTTTTTGGCTCATTATCATTCATTGACTCTAACAGCTCAAATTGTTGTTACAGCTGAGAAATGACTAGCAGAAGATAGAAGAAGCCAAAGAGTTTTTAATAGCCTAAGAGATATAGTAGACCATACGAGCAGCAACGGTGATTAATTAGATGCATTAATTTGGGTAGTGGTGGGCACTAGAATATTACTTTAGCTGGGAAGGGCCCAAATTTCCTAGACACAGGAGAAAACAAAACTAACTCTATTAATCTAGAAGCCTGTAACTATATTTCAAGAGGATGTAAGAGCATCTATAGGCCACAAGAGTACTAACCATGGCTAATCCCTCGGGATAGCCATGTTCAGATCTACTTCCCCAGAAGTTCCCATATTGACTATAGTCTTTAATGTTGTGCATCAGAGTTAAAGAACACAGGGGAGTATATACAATATATTTTAGAAAGAATCCCATCTAAAATAATTTAAATATTTACATAATGATGTCATACGTTTATTTATGAATCCAGGTTTAATTCCGTTACAGTGCTATTTAATGAAATGCTGTGTTTAGAACAGCTTCTCTCTTTTCATCTCCTTTCCTGAACACATTGTGATCTTTCAGCACTACGATGCCATAATGCGGTACATCAGCCAGCCCCCTCTGCTACTCGATGTGCATATCCATAAGCCAATGCTGAATGCTCGGACTTGGATGGATGCTTTGCTTGCCTTTTTTCCAGGTCTGCAGGTAAAAAAAACCCAGTAACTCTGTTTCCCTAATACAAAAGTAAAATGATTATAACTGAGTGCACTTTTGACTAAATTTGAATTACCAAACAGACTCACATTTCAGAATTGTATTAATCTACATTTTTTCTGTTTATAAAATGATTATAGATTAAAAAATCAACTCATGTTTTATTAGGTAATTTTGTTGTTATGTTTATTTCTAGGTCTTAAAAGGAGATATTAGACCTGCTATTGAAACTCATGAAATGTTATATCAAGTGATTAAAAAACACAATTTTCTACCAGAGGTAAGCAAATAATCTTTGGAATTCTAATTTATGTATACTATAAATTGCTAATTTAAAGGTAGAAAATGTCATCTTCAAGGTTGGCTGTTCTTTCCTGTTATTTTTTCCTGGTTAAGTAGTTTATTTAATTTCTTTTTAGTTTGCACAGTATTTTATATGTTTATGCTTCATGTATTCAGAGAAGTCTAGTTTATGGTAATTCTGACATTTTATTAATTTTATGTTAAAAAAATACTCCAAATAAGTAGTTCTCAACCTTTGCTAATCCATGACGTTTCGTATTATTACATTCTAACTTTTACACATACCCACCAGGGAGACCTTTTTACTTTTTATTTTCTAAAGCTTATATTATAAAAATGATACACATTGAATATACTCTAGCTGATCACACATGCTCCCTGGCAGTATGGGGAATCCCAGCTCTTCCTCATGCTGATTGACAGTTATTCTGCATGGCTTTTATACATTGTATCAATAATATTCTTGCTAGCTTCTTGTGGCAGGATTTTAATAACATACTTTTTGGCTTTCCAGAAATTTACCATTAAAAACTTGCAAATTTATCTATGGCCTTGTTCTGTCCCTGCTTATTCAATGCCCTCTGTGAGATATCTAAGCATTCCAACAATTTAGAATGCTTTCTAAAAGTGTTTGCTTTAGAAAGTAGAGTCTTACTAGCCTTCAGGTGAGTAGGGCTGAGTACTGTGTTGTAGAAAATTCATATTCACTCAGAAGAAGCTAAGGTTTCAACTAAATACATGCTATCACAAAAGAAATTTTACTTGGTTCTCATTTTAGTTGGCTCTGTTACTGAATACATTTCAAGTGAGACTAGTTTTATTTTTAAATAATGCCTTCCTTATTCCACAGAGGATTTGAAGTTGTTATAAAAAAAAAAGCATATGCTAAAATAGAAATATGAGAACTAGAGACTTAATAACTAAGAGAAAAAGCGGAAATAAGGAAAAAGAAAAAACACAATAATGTGGGACAACCAGGATCCATGTAGTGTCATTACTAGTTTCATAGTTTTTTCTAAGCTTCCTAGTAGCCAAAATGATAATTTAAAAAATAATTTCATTCAATTGGTAAAAATAGCAAAAACGAGTTATGATTTTAAGCAATGAAAAAAAAATTTCATTTTATAGATGAAAATTGTTATCAGTGTTTTAATTCTTTTTATTTGCTTATGATCTAATTTATATATCTGAACCTACTTGTTTATTATTTTTTAATCACATTTTTTTTCTTGTCTATTTGAATTTTTTGTGTGCAGGCATTTACCACAGATTTTAGGGTACATTGGGCTCAACATCCTTTAAGACCAGAATTTGCAGAAAGTACCTACTTCTTGTATAAAGTAAGCTAATTCACCGTCCTTTTTGCTGTTTAAATCCCCCTCCCCCCAATCCTCTGTTGTATATCTTACTATCTTATAATAGTAATTGGGTTTTCAAAGACCTTTTTTTAATATTATAGTGGTTGGATATATCATGGTTCTTAATCATCTAGCTCATAGAGTTGTTAAAAGATGCAAGAATCAACACCTAAGTTTTTTATGCCTTTTTATGATATGTCATTTCTTTAAAGAGAAATTTATATTCTAGAGCTGCTTTCTAAAATATATCTCTTGCCTTCTTTTAATCAGGAAAACTTTGAGGGTATTAGAAGTTTAAAGGCTAAGATATACAATTGGATGGCTTTCCAGTTGTGTGTTTAGCAATTCTATAAAGCAGAGTCTATGGCTTATTTTCAGAGCTAGGTTCTGTGTAACGTGTGTTCCAGTGCCTGATACCTATAAATATGTGACAAATGAATGTATGGTAATATATAAGCTGCATACGGGGGGGGGTGTATATATATATTTATATATATATATATATATATATATATATATATATTTTCTCCCTTTTTAATAAGGCTACAAGGAGACCCTTACTACCTTGAAGTAGGGAAAACACTTATTGAAAACTTAAATAAATATGCTAGAGTGCCTTGTGGATTCGCTGCCATGAAGGATGTTCGTACCGGAAGTCACGAGGACAGGTAAAACAATTCCTAAACATATGACTACTAGCTAGAATTCAGATATACTTAATGCTTTTTTTAAAAAAATATATTTTATTGATTTTTTACAGAGAGGAAGGGAGAGGGATAGAGAGTTAGAAACATCGATGAGAGAGAAACATCGATCAGCTGCCTCCTGCACACCTCCTATTGGGGATGTGCCCGAAACCAAGGTACATGCCCTTGACTGGAATCGAACCTGGGACCTTTCAGTCTGCAGGCTGACGCTCTATCCACTGAGCCAAACTGGTTAGGGCAGATATACTTAATGCTTTTACAAAGAGTATTTGAAGGTACAAACCTTACTTTGTTGTGTTTATTTTTAAAACTTGAATAAGCTCAGTTCTAATTGTTTGAAAAGTTTATATTTTTATCATAGTGCCTGGCATGTAGTAGGTGCTCAAAGTATTTTTAAAAAGATGAATAAATGTTGTTAAATATCAGAACCTTGATATTAGGAGTATTAGGAATATTGAGGTTTTAGTTTCCTTTGTTAATAGTTTTTTTATATTATATAAAATGTTAGAAATTATCAAGGTGATAATGAATGATCTGGATTATTTTTCTTCAGACAAGAATTCCACAAAAAATAATATCATGGTTAATGTGTGTATTCTTATTGGTTGCTGATTTGGAGGGCTGGGAAAGACCATTGGCAGTTTCTATTCATTGGATACTTAGATAGATGTAGATGGTATAAAGTATTCAGGATATAAAAAGCACGCTTTGGTTAATGTGACCAAATGTTAATAACTTAGCATTCCAGTTATTCCAAACTCACTTATCTGTTCTTTGTTTTTAAATATATTTTTATTGACTTCAGAGAAGAGAGAGAGTGAAACATCAATGATGAGAGAATGCATCATTGATTGGCTGCTCCTGCATGCCCCACCCTGGGGACTGAGCCTGCAACTCATGCATGTGCCTGGACTGGGAATCGAACCATGACCTCTTGGTTCATAGGTTGACGCTCAACCACTGAATCACACTGGCCGGGCTATCTGGTTATTTTAACTGTTCAGAACATAGCAACACATCTCTGGAAGAACAGTAAAGCTGGTTTGCTCATTTGTTTAGCAAATACTCATTCCACAAATATTTCTCAAGGTGTCTTATGCACCAATTATACTAGTTTTTGAGGATTAATGATATAGAAACATTTATTTCCTGTCATGAATCGCTGAGGACAGGCAGATAAACAGGCTTTAAAACATTGGGTAAGTGCTACGGAACATATTAAAGGGACATGAAATACAAATTGGGGTGTGGTAGTCACTGAAAGGTTTCTGTGTCATGAAGGATGAGCAAGAATTAGAAGAAAGTGGTAGAAGGAGTTTCGGGCAAGGGTACTAGAGGCAGATGAAACATAGCACTCAACTTCTACTCAGAGTTGTCCCTTAGTCCTTTACTCAGAGTATTTAGGTAATAGTTACCAGTAATTAGGTCGGGGACCTCCTTCCCTGAGCACAGATGATGGATGAGGAATAGATAGGTTTCTGTAAGCAGGCATATAGATAACAAACAGCAAGTAATGAAAGCATAAGCCTATGTATTTGTAGCATTTATTGACTGCTTCCTACATTCCAAGCACTCTTCTAATTAAGAACTTTGGATGTTTAACTCATTTGATGTTTACAACAACCTTCTGATGTGTAATTTCTATTATAATCTTCATTTTATAGCTGAAGAAACCAAGGCACAGAAAAGTTAGGGAACTTGCCCTAGGTCACACAATTAGTAAGCTTACGTTAATTCTAATCAAGGCAGATTGGCTTTTGACTACAATGCTAATTAATCACTTACTGCCTGCCAGGCATGGCACTTAACTTGAGGATGGAAAGATATATCAGAATCAGTGAAAAAGTAGGTGTGTACAGAATTAATCACAACCATGTGATAGGTGCTATAGTAGAAGGAGGTTGAGGAATTACAGAGAATTACATGGCATTGTTTCTGGACCTCTTATCACTGCCTTTACTCCTTTCTGATTGTATTCCAGTATATAAGTGTCTCTTAAAATATCATGTCCAGAATTAACCAAACTCGTCAGATGCCTGGCACAACAGCACTGTTACCATCTGAATTCAGGCACGAGATTGCTCATTTTTTAAGGGGCTGAAGGGCTTACACTCTCTGCAATTGAGGATCACTGCTTCATTGACTCACTCATGGCAGTATGTACCTCTCTGATGCATTGGCCTAACGAGAGGTTGAAAACTAATCTTAGTGTTTTATTATTAGATGTGCTTTAGTTTTTTGGTTTGGTTTTTTTTTAGCAACTTTATTATGTTCAACTCACAGTGAACTTGTGGCTAGTTGACCTCAGATACTTAACTATGGCCTGGTGACAAATGGGTGTTCTCCACCCTGCTGTTGAGCAGCTGACTTAGAACTTTATATTCATCCCAGCAAAAGTTCATATTTGTTGATTTTGGGGGTTTTTGTTTTGCTTTTACCAAAAAGAGAGCTTGACTCTCATCTCAGTCATCTAATGTATTAGCTTATCTACCTATATTTAGTGATCTGCAGTTTAGATGAACATGCCTTAAAAAAATTTTGGGAGCAGAATGTTGGATAAGACCACGACTTCATGGGATGGCATTTGAGAGCTTTCCATTACAAGCTCTCTGCATTTGGTTGCCTCTTCCCTGCAGATCTTTCAGTGCTGTTGTCTGGCTCACCAGTGTCCACACGTCCACAGTTTTCCAAATGGAAAGATCTGTATTTTAATAATAGTAGATGATCACTGGAAAGAATTTAAGTGGAAAAAAAAATGAGTATCTTCCTTAAGACACTTTCCCTACTTGCCCACCCTAAGATACCACTGTTGGCAATTTGATAAACAGTCTTCCAGACATTTTTAAAAATTTGTATTTATTGATTTTAAAGACAGGAAAGGCGGGGGGAAGAGGAGAGAGAGAGAGAGAGAGACAGACAGACAGAGAAACATCGATTTGTTGTTCCACTTATTTATGCATTCATTGATTGATTTTTGTATGTGCCCTGACCAGGGATAGAACCCACAACCTTGGCATATAGGGATAATGCTCCAACCAACTGAGCTACCCACCAGGGCAAGACATTTTAATGCCTGTGTGTTATGCATTTGTGTACATGTTTATTGTTTTTAATACAAGTTAGATATATAAGATACCAAACTTGCTAGCTTTACCCAACTCATACCTAGTGATCTTATGTCTCTATTCTTTTCCAAGTGTTTCAAATGTTTGTTTCGTAGTCAATTCTAGAATTTATCAAAAATCAACATTCTGCTCATGAGTCTACAGTTCTCAAGCTAGCATTTGCTTGTAATAATAATTGTCAGTCCTTCAGAAAATATTAAATTATGACAGGTGTACTCAGGTTGACAGGGAACTATTTTATCTGTTTTATGAAGATTAACATCTAAAATGTTCAAAAAGGTTTTGACAGGTGACAGATGAATTATTACTCCAAAGTAAAACATTTATAGGTAGGAAAAATAATAATTTATCTATTTTTGAGCTCATATTTATGCCAGGTGCTATGCTAAACAATGGACATATAATCTCTTATTTAGTCTTTACACCAGTGTTAGGTGTTAATGATTATTATGTTCTTTATAGAAGAACAAACTGAAGCTCACAGTCCTTGTATAATATCCCCAAGGTTACACAGCTAGTCAGTGGATGTTCTTTTCTGTTTCCAAAGCCCATGTTCTTTACCACTGTGTTCCATGGCCTCTCCACTTCATTCTTTAGTAATGCTGTGTAAACTTGATTTCAATTTATTAAATGTTTATTGAGTACATTCTGTGTGCCAGGAATTGTGCTTGGCCTGAGGTCTGAAACTATGCATTCTGTCCAGTATGCTACAAGTTATTTATTATTGTCAAAAATTAGATGCTTTGGGAGGTGGTAAATTGATTAAATTTCATGTTACTATAATTACATCTAACAGCTATGCTCTTTTGCTCTTTTTCTGCCACTTTTAATTTTATTAAAACTTTTAAAAATTGCTTATTAAAACATTACAACATTAAGTAGTTTGTAAAGTCACATAGTTCTATCCCCTTTATTTTTCATACTAGAGGCCCAGTGCATGAATTCGTGCACCAGTGGGGTCTCTCAGCTTGGCCTGTGGGATCAGGCTGAAACAGGCTCTCTGACATCCCCCGAGGGTCCTGGATTGCAAGAGGGCACAAGCCAGGCTGAGGGACCCCAATGGTGCATGATCGGGGTGGGGGAGGGACATGGGAGGTTGGCCAGCAGGGGAGGAATTGCAGGAGGGCTCCAGGGTGTGTCTGGCCCATCTCACCCAGTCTTGGTTGGCCAGACCCCAGCAGCAAGCTAACCTACCAGTTGGAGCGTCTGCCCCCTGGTGGTCAGTGCACATCATTGTGAGCAGTTGAGAGGCCTTAGCATATCATTAGCATATTATGCTTTGATTGGTTGAACAGCCAACAGGTCCACCGGACACTTAGCAGCATATTAGGCATTTATTATATAGGATTCTCTTCTTGACTGGTATGTAAATATTTACAGTTATACTCCATGTGATTTTGTGTTGTACCTTTTTTCATGAAACTTTTTGTAAATGATTCCTTTACCTTTAATGCCTTTTTAAATTATCACTTAAATGGCTGCATAAAAACTCTATCAAAATTGTATTACTTCATCCCCTTCAATTAATATAAATTAAGGATTACGTGGTTCTTAGCAGTAAAGTTTACCTGCGTTACCTCCTGGCTGTTGGTTCTCTATAGAAGAAATGGAAAACCCTAGCTCCTTGGAAGGCCAGTAGGAAGGTTTGGTCTGCAGTATTGGCAAGATCTGGTGTACCTGTGTGGTAGGCAGCACACTAGTCTTTTTGTTTCTTTGGAAAATAATTGGTGAGTCAATGCCATTACCACTAGGGGATAGATATAGTCTATAGTTCCTTGGACATCTAAGTTAGTGTAATATATCTATTGACCTGGACTCTGACTTTCAGATAGTTGGTATTAGGATATTTTTGTATTCTTAGATTTATTTGTAACCTCTTATTTTAGAATGGATTCTTTCTTCTTGGCTGAAATGTTTAAATATCTTTACCTGTTATTTGCGGATAAAGAAGATATTATTTTTGACATAGAAGATTACATATTCACAACAGAAGCTCATCTGTTACCTCTCTGGCTCTCTACTACAAATCAAAGCGTCTCTAAGAAGAGCACAGTAGGTTATGTTTTTAAATCAAATGTCTTACTCTCTTATTTACTTTCCTGTGTTTGTTTTATTTTTCCAAGTGAAAAGTAATCCATGACTAGAATTCAGTAAATGTAGTATGGGAGGAGGAAAAGTACACTTGATGTTTTCTTATTTTGTTTTCTTTTATGGCATCCTATATACTTACATTTTATTTAAATTTTTCTTTGAACAAACTATAATGTTAAGTAAAAAAAATACTTTCATTCACATAACATTCTTTTATATTGTAGACTTCAGAATATATAGAACTGGATGACAGTAATTTTGATTGGACTTGTCCAAATACTCAGATTCTCTTCCCTAATGATCCATTGTATGCTCAGAGCATTCGTGAACCCTTGAAAAATGTGGTGGATAAGAGCTGTCCTAGAGGCGTCATCAGAGTGTAAGATGTCTTATTTTATATTTGTTAATATCAGAGTCATTCTTAGTAAATGAAGGAGAACATAAGGGACATATAACAGTAGACATTCACTTAGACCAAAAATATTGCGGCATGTAGTTATTGCTGATTAAAATAAAATAAAAATTATTAGTAAAGTTAGATAGCAAATTTTATTCTGTGATGCCTTATTACTATGGAAATTTTCTATTTATCTTTTGTTTAATGAACTGAATAATAGTAGTCAATGGGCAGTTTTCAACTTGTGTAGCTCATTTATAGAACAGTTTCATCAAATATTTTCATATGTCTTATATATGTAGAAAGTATTTTTCCTTTTACCTGCAATGTGTGTAGTGCAAATATAGGTTTTATTTTTTGATGAGGTACTTATTCTTGGTTGTTAAATTTTTGCCTTAATGAGTTCATTTTTTTCTAAATACTTAAATTAGAAAGGCCATTACTAGGGAAATAAAAATAAATTTAAGTGAATGTTATAATTCACTGATATAACTATTGTTTTGATTTTAAAATGGCAGAGAGAGAAATCTGGTTTTCAAGGAAGAAATCAGTAGTAACAAATCCCAACCCAACCTATTCTGTATTTTCAAATGGTTATAATTCTGTTGACTAATACTACCTTATTGATAATATACATGATTTTATAACTATAAAATATTATTTAAAAGCTATACCACTTACTAGTAACCTAAGTTATATGGAGGAAAATGCCTATTTCTAGTTATTCCATTTTTACTAGTTCTAAAATTAGCAGTTTTGCAAATATCTAACATTATTCCTGTTTGCTTTATGTTTTTCTCCAGTTCTGACTTGTAGTTTTTTAAGCCTTGCTTATAATTACTTTTAGCAGAGAGGAGAGTTTCAGGAGTGGATCTAGACCCCCGCTGAGAGCCAGAGATTTCATGGCCACTAACCCTGAGCATTTAGAAATCTTGAAGAAGATGGGGGTGAGTTTGATTCACCTCAAAGATGGGAGAGTCCAGTTGGTTCAACATGCAATCCAAGTAAGACATTGCTGTATTAATTAGATGCAACTCTGCTCTTTTAGTCTCATAAGCTTTCATAAGATAATGACATTGGGCTTTTTAAAAACTTTTAATGTATGGTTTAAAGTTAGAGATTCAAAATTTAAGGTCTTGAAAATATGTTGGTAAGCCATCTAATTCAACCCTTCAGAGTATAGATCGATTAAATCACAAATAGGCTGGGCAATTTGCTGAAGTTAATAAAGGTAAATATAGGACTCAAGCCTAAGTTTTCTGTTTCTCAGTCCCTTGTCTTTCCACTGTTTTTATTTAGAGCATAATCTTAAATGGTAATAATTAGTTTTAATATTTATATTTTACATTATTTTATTTTCCAAAGAGCTACTGAATCTAAGTATTTTATTCACTGTAGAAATCAAAATTTGCATTTATCTCTCTACTCCTAGAAAACATAACATGTCTTTTGGGGAAATTTTTATTGATTTTTGCTTTAAAAGTTTTCATAACATGAGGTCTTTAAATTATTTCAACCTAGAGTCATAATCAGGTATCCCTAAATCTCAAATTCAAACTTCCCACAACCTCACCTCCCCTCAGATTTCTATTTCATTTCTGTTCTTGCCACATCCATTCTTCCTTAAAGAATATTCTGCCTGCTTCCTTACGTTTCACCACCCTCACTCCTCAGTAGTGGGAGTGGCCTCTCTAATGGCATTGCTTTCACTTAGTCCACCAATAACTTGTCATTCAGTGACCTCCTAATCCTAATGTGATTGAATTTTTCTCTAACAGTTGATTGTCCCCTATTTATTTATTTTTAATATTTTTAAAATTGACTTTTAGAGAGAGGTGAAGAGAGAGAGAAACATCAATGTGAGAGCAAGACATTGATCCGCTATCTCCTGCACGACCCCCACCAGGGGACTGAACTCACAACCCGGGCATGTGTCCTGACTGGGAATTGAACTGGCAACCTTTTGGTACATAGATGACGGACAACCAACTGAGCCACACTGGTCAGGGTTTGACAGCCCTGTTTTTAAATATATTTTTATTGATTTCAGAGAGGAAGGTAAAGGGAACAATAGATAGAAACATCAGTGAGAGAGAATCATTGTTTGGCTGCTTCCTGCATGCCCCACATTGGGGATGAAGCCCACAACCCGGTCATGTGCACTGACTGGGAATCGAACCATGACCTCCTGGTTCATAGGTTGACACTCAGCCATTAAGCCACACCGATCGGGCACGGCCCTGTTTTTAAAATGTATCCTTTTCTTGGCTTCCGGCATACATCTTTCCACTTCTCTGTTCATGCCTTTATAGCTCTCTTTCTTGGCAGAACCACTCAGTGTAGGCACTACCAAAAGATCTGGTTCATTCACTTCTCTCTCTCTACTCTTCTTCAGCAATCTCATCTGTTTCTATAAGCTCAGCTGTCATCTTTGTACACTTGATTTCTTATTTATACATATGTAAACCCCGATTCCTAACTTTACTCTTAAACCCAGCTTTGATCTACCTGTCATACATTTCTATATCTCGGCCTCAATCTGTGCAAATCTGAATTCTCTTCCTGCCTCCTCCTTATTCCAGCTCTCCTCCTCCTTGTTCTCCATCTCAGTAAACCCTGTCATCATTCTCGAAGTCACCAAAACTAAGCCACCATAATTTCAGGATAGGCTTGAACTTCTATCTCCCAAATCCTCTCTGTCCTCTATCCTCTTAACTCCCATCAAGTCCCATTGACTTTTCCTGTAAAGTGTCAGGAATCCATCTTTTTCTACTATTGTGAGGCATTCTTCAGCTTTTCCTCTCTAAAGATTCAATTCAGATGTCACTCTATTTTCCAGATCCACACTGGCAGAATTGTCATTTCCTTGTCCACTTTCCCACTTGAAAAATGTAATTATAGCTAATTTCACGTGTCTCTCTCCTCTAGATACAAACTTAAGTAAAAAGTCTGTTTCCCCAGTGTCTAGTCAAGTGCTGGAATATAATAGTTGCCTGATAAATATGTTTTGAATTTAATCTGATTGTTGGTTCATAATTTCAAAGAAAGGAAGTATGGATCAGGTATGGTGTTTATTTCTTAAAAGGGGAAACAGTGGAGAAGACAAGCAGAATGAGCATTTGATCATTGGGTGGAAGTCCAATTCTCAACTTGTATCAAAAATGGTTTATAGAACAGTGAAGGAGCTATTGGTAAAAACTACAGATGTCATTTTCAGAAGTAATATTTTTTTAAGAAAAATCAGGCTATAAATATTTGGTAGGGACCAAAACTGAAAGGAGAAAATTTAGAGTGGAAGACCAGTGCAATAGTATTAAAGTTCAATATTAAAAAAGAAAAGAAAAATGTTTCCAGAAGGGTTACAATTATCTGTTTCTTTCCTAGGCTGCTAGTTCAATTGATGCTGAAGATGGGTTGAGGTTTATGCAGGAGATGATTGAATTGTCAAGTCAGCAACAGAAAGAACAGCAGCTACCTCCACGAGCTGTACAAATTGTTTCCCACCCATTTTTTGGCAGGGTAGTATTGACTGCTGGACCAGCTCAGTTTGGGCTAGATCTGTCTAAACATAAAGAGGTGTGTACGCTTACCATGTGCTTGCTGAAACTGAGTTAAAAATATTATTTAAGTATTGTCTAATTTCTTTTTTTTCTATTTAGATTTAGTCTCTTTTCTAATTAAAAATTGACCTATTTTTAAATATTTATTTAAAAAACCTAAATATTCACTTTTCCAAAATAAAATAAAAGTTAAAAGTATATCTTGTAAATTTTGAGTCATAATGTACATCTACAATATGTTTATAAAATTTTACTTAAAATATTGGTCATTTACTGTCCAATTTTTGGTCTCTAAATTAGTACCTTTATCTGAAATGATTTTCAGACTTTGTTTTGTTAATCCTCACCTGAGGATATTTTTCAGCTGATTTTTAGGGAGAGTGGAAGAGAGAGGGAAAGACAAGAGAGAAACATCTATGTGAGTGAAACACATCGATTGGCTGCCTCCTGTACGAGCCTCGACCAGGGCCTGGGCCTGGGAGAAGTCTGCATCCAGGGTACGTGCCCTTGACCGGAATCAAACCCAGGACCCTTTGGTCCACAGGCCGATGCTCTATCCACTGAGCCAAACCAGCTAGGGCGGTTTTCAGATTTTTTAACAACTGCTAGACCCTTTTTTTGAACCAAAATCTGACTTGGAGGCTTAAAGCCAAAGTGCCCAAGTGGCTGTGGAGAGCTGATGCTGAGCTTGCACTGAGCAGACATGGAAGATCACTGGGCTAGATTTTCCTCTTAGTTTTGACATAGGGAACAAAGACCTGCACAGTTGAACAGTTCACAAGTTCATCAAACTAATTGGTGGCAGAGCTGGAACCAGAACCCAAGTATGCTGATAATCTAATGACAATGCTCTTTGAACTCTATTACCCCTAATCTAGACTAAATCTAGTGTGTATTTGAAAGCTTTGCAGGTTTATGGATTGACTCATCTATTCAGCAACTCTTCATTGAGTCCCTACTATATCTAGGCACTGTTCTAGGTGTTTACAATCTATCAAGTTTACCAAACCAGTAAAAATTTACACCCTCCCTTGTCTAGTTTACATTCTAGAGTAGCGATTTTCAACTGGTGTGCTGCAAGAATTTTTAAAACATGCAGTATCTGACTATTTAGTCAGGAGCACTGACCTCTTTTCCCTTAGATTGTCAAATTAAAAAATGACAGCAGCCAACACAACAATAGCTGTTCAGTGTGAATGAACCAAAATTATACTTAGTTCTTGTCAGATTGGCAAAAAATATTTTTTTTGGTGTGCCACAGAATTTTAGTAATTTATGCCATGGGATGAAAAAGGTTGAAAATTGCTGTTCTAGAGGAATATTAAAGCATCTTTACACTAAATATCTTTAAAAAAGTTTTTTGGTTCATTTAATTTTCTAGAAAGAAGAGCTGCTTGCAGATTCATGTAGACTAAATCTATTTTTTTCCTCTTTCAAAAAATGTTTCTGGTTACCAATGATGGTTTTATAGTGGTTCCCAGCTGCTGTAAGCGTGGATATGGGTGTGTCGTAAATCTGGCTACAGGCTCCAACTTTACTACTTACTAACATTGTGTCTTAGAGCAAATTACGTAACGTCTCAGTTTCCTTATATATAAAATGAATTATCTGTATTTCTTTCAAGGCTGTTATAAAGATCAGGTTTAGTAATTTATGTAAAAATGCTTTATAAACTGCAAAGCACAATAGAAATAAATATTGGTTGTGTACTATGACATGCAAAATGTTCGAAACAAAATTTATTCCAAATATATATACTGGATATGTTACCATTAGTAAAGAAACAAGGTCTACCTAAAGCTTTATATATCAAATTTTATTTAATGACTAGATAGCGATTTGGGAAGATAAATAAATATTGAAGTCACTTTTATTTCTGACAGACAAGAGGATTTGTTGCAAGCAGTAAACCATACAATGGTTGTTCAGAGCTTACTAACCCCGAGGCAGTGATGGGAAAAATTGCTTTGCTACTAAGAGGACAGTGCATGTTTGCAGAAAAGGCACGCAACATCCAGAATGCTGGAGCCATCGGTGGCATCGTCATTGGTAAGTCATCCTCCACATCAGCATCATTCTGTTGACTAGAAGGAGGTAATTTTTAGGATTTTTCCCCCCTTTGTTTTACAAAATTATATAAAACGTTTGTTGTGTTTTTATTTCACTAGACAGCATAGTGAATAGGTAATCCAGTGGCTCTCAAATTTCTGTAGGTCTCATATCTTTTTTGAAAGTCTAAATATGGGTTTTTGTATATTAATGCCAGTAAAACTACTTGTGGACAGGTGTAAAGGTGGGTTGAGGGGAGAGGTAAAATCACCCAACACCATGAATAAGAAAATTTGCCCACAAGAGCCAAAGCCCTGCCACCTCCAGTGGGAGCCATTGAAAATGCCCATTCTGCCTCAAACATTCAGGCTTTGGAATCAGACATATGGAGGCGCACTTCTTGGCTCTGCCACAAAATCATGGTGTAATGTTGGCCCAGCTTTAGTGTATCTGTTTATTCAGTAGAATATTTTGTTAGCTTCAGTGAAAGTGGTAATATCTTTTAGGTGATTATAAGGTTTGAAAATAATATATATAAAATTTCTTAGCATAATCGCTGACATATCATAGGTATAAGCATTAGTTACTTTACATCTCCTTAGGTCTTTCCCCTCTGAAATTACAAACTTTAAATAATTTCACTCATGCATTTCAACCAGTGTGCTTTGATTTTTTATTTTTTGTAGGAAATCATTTATATCACGACAAGCAGGCCAGGGAAAATATAATTTTTTTCTATGCTTTAAGTAGGGAGGAATTTACATTTAGAAAGAACTAAAGACCTGAGGTCACATCCTAATTGCACAGTTAGTTCTTCTGCATAGCTTCTCTCACAGGGGAAATCCATTTTGAATTTTTTCTTTCTAATTAGGATAGATTTCCTTTTTGAATTTAGGGTAAATAAAAGTAAGCCATTAAAAATATTAGGATTTATTTCATTGAAAAAGTATTTATTATTCCTTTTGTTTATCCCTTGTGGGCACTCCAATGTTGATTTAATGAGTGTATAAATTCCATTAGTTAAGTAGTAGTAGGAGAATGCTGCTTAATAACCTAAATCGGATGGCAAACGATAGCCTGCAGGCCCACTCTAGCTCCACGCCTGTTTCTGTAAAGCAGTTTTATTGGCACCCACCATGCCAGTATGTTTACATATTATCTGTGCTTGCTTTCAGTCTACAGTGGTGGAGTGAGTGGTTGCAACAGAGAACTGAAAAGCCTAAAATATTCACTATCTGACCAATTACATGAAAAGTTGCTGATGCCTGACTGAAATCATCTTTTTATCCTTGGCTATTTTCCACAATGAGTTTCTTTTTATTTTTTGAAGAATTTAATAGCTTGGCATCATTATCATTTTGAACATCTCTTACTGAGACTAAAAATATAAAATAGTGAAAATAAAGTCTGGAACATATGCAGAGTATTTTAGAGTTTCCCTGTTTTGTGATGAAGTCTCTAATTCCCATGTGCTCTCTACTCTGCAAAGTTTGTCAAGGCTGACATTTTCTATTTGTTACAGAATCCTATACTGAGTTCTGTGGGTAAATAAATTAAGAGGCTATGATCCTTATTCTCAGAAAATTTAATTTGAAGGGAAACTTTCTTGTGTTGTAACTTCTTTCCCTTAAGTATTTTTTTTATTTCTGATGAGACATTTTGTTTGTTTTTCACTGGTTTTAATCCTATATAATAAAAGGCTAATATGCAAATTGACCAAACAGCGGAACGACCGGTCACTATGACGCGCACTGACCTCCAGGGGGCAGACGCTTAATGCAGGAGCTGCCCCCTGGTGGTCTGTGTGCTCCCACAGGGGGAGCGCCGCTCAGCCAGAATTTGGGCTCAATGGCTGGCAAGTGCAGCGGCCGAGGCAGGAGCCTCTCCTGCCTCTGAGGCAGTGCTAAGGACTCCTTGGGGGATGTCCACCTGCCTACTTAGTCCTGCTCCCCTAAGCCAGCAGGCAGACATCCCCCAAGAGGTCCCGGACTGCGAGAGGGCGCAGGCCGGGCTGGGGGGGCAGGCCCCCCCCCCCCCCCCAGTGCACTAATATTGTGCACCAGGCCTCTAGTTATATATAAATGATCAAATTGAGGCTTAGTTGTTTTTTATTGCAAGTACTAGAAGTACGGATTATCTTAGAAATCATTCAGCTGCAGAGACATTTATTTAAGCTAGTTTGAGAGGTTTGTTTACTACATGGAAATGGGTTATATATTTTCATTGAACCCAAGAGTAAGAAATAGAACTGAACATTCTGAGGAAGTGGAAGTGGGAGCTGAAAATCATCAGGAGCATGACAGCTCACGTTTTTCACATCTCTGTCTCTATCTCGGGGTCCTGGAGACATGGCAGAACTCTGCATTTCTTTGCAATTCTGCTTCATTCTCCAGCTTCTCACCAGCCTTCTCCCTCTTTGCTCATCAGTTCTCAAGTGGCCATTCCCACTGCTAACTGAAACAGTCTGTGTGCCACTTCCCCAGAGACACTGAGGGTCAGGAAGCCGTCCTTTGTTTAATCAGTTATTGCAAAGGGGATGGGTCCTACATGGTATTCTCCACTTAGCAGGGCCTAGCAGAGTGAGTCCTCAGAGGAGGGACAGGCAGATTCTCTAGGCAGACCGGCATGTGAGATTAGCGGTGCATAGTACTGGCATCGCCAGTAAAACAGTATTTAGCAGTCTACAACTAGTATTTAACCAATGTAAACTGACACCAGTGCTTGATCCTACTTATAGAGGAAAAACCGCTATAGTCATCATTATTCTTTGTGAATAGAATATAAAAAAGAATATGAATTTGTAATTTTGTAAAGGAAGATTATGCCATTAGAGGGAATTCTAGAGCACAATAAAATTTTATTTATAGTTCTATCTTTGTCATCCAACCAGGTCTTTGAATTTTTCAATTTCTAGGCTTTTTCATAAGCATACAAAATTTTTACTGTCCTAATCATAGACTTTTATATTATACTCTTTTCTTGTAATATTTTCTTGTAAAAGTTCACAAATATAGATAGCAAGCACGTCAGTAAACTTCTTTGGGCATAGATCATTTTACTTCTTTTGAATTATTTCCCAGGATAAATTTCTAGGAATAGAATTAGTGCGTCCAAAAAGTATGTTTGTTGTTTTTATGGTTCTTGGTGCATAAAATCATTGCGGCCAACAGGTACAAAATGGTAGCAATTAGTAGGTAGACCTTTTTAATTGATATGTTTGTGTTTGTGTCTAGATGACAATGAGGGAAGCAGCAGTGATACTGCCCCTCTGTTCCAGATGGCAGGTGATGGAAAGGACACAGATGACATCAAGATCCCCATGCTGTTCCTGTTCAGTAAAGAAGGAAGTATTATACTGGATGCTATCCAGGAATATGAGGAGGTGGAAGTGCTCCTTTCTGACAAAGCAAAAGATCGAGGTATGGATAAAATCATTTGTTTTACCGTAATGCAGTTCAGCATTAATTTTACTGGTTTTACAACAAAAGTGAGTAACAAGAAGTTATTTTTGGATTACTGGTAAAATAAGTACAATTTTTAAAAGATGATTTCCAAATATATTTTTCATTTGAAGAGTAGTAAAACATTTATTTGGCTTTGTTTGCCAAGTTAGGATGTTTTTAGAATTGTATTTTAATACGTAATTTATAATTTTTGCTTTGATTCTGCCCAGTGATGATAATACAAGAGATTACATCCAGAGAGTCATTTTAATATCCACAGGTGTTCACTATTTAATTTCACTGATAATGCATCTTACATCTCTTTTATAAGGAGTAAAAAGAGATTGTGTAGATTGGTGTTGTATACAACATAATAGTAATTAGGTTTCACCAGCCACCTATAATCAAATGAGCACAGTCGTAGTGAAGGCAGTAGAAATCCAGCAGCTTCTCTCCACAGAGATCTGTTTATAGGTTACAAGAATTGCAGATGGTGATGTCTGAAGAACAAGATGGCAAGCCTTGTTACTTCGTGAGATTACCTCTTCCTCTCTAGGCCAAAGCGTTTGTGGGTAATTTGAAAGATCTTTGAAACCCAAGTTACTGTATAAAGGCAATGTCTTACTGTTTTATAGTTTCACACCCAGGAATAGAGGGGAAAGCGAACCATCCAACATAGACTGTGATCCTGTTTTGGTAGCAGTTTTTCTTATCCACCAGAGACACTTACAGAGAGAGCTATACTCCTCCCACCCCTCTTAAATGAATAGAGTTGTATAATTTCTATAGGGTTGTTGAACCCCCTGGGATGTTTGTTTGTTATACACACACACACACACACACACACACACACACACACACACACAGTAGCCAGATTATTATGACCATCTGACGTTTGTAGGCAAATTAGCTATAATTTCGCACTGAAGTTGCTAGAGGGCCAGACCATTATAAATAGGGAAGCAGGTTGTTTACCACAACAGTAGAAGTGATTTTTTTCTGAAGATACGGGTAAACAACGCGATTTAACAGCCTTTGAACGTGACATACACACACACACATACACACACACAAACACACACTCTGAGTGGCCAGATTATTATGACCACCCCATCAGTATTTTGTTGGGCCACCTTTTGCCTTCAATACTGCGGCGTTTCTTCTTGACATTGACTCCGCGAGATGTTGAAAGGTGACGCGAGGAATCTGGCACCATGCCTGATGAATAGCACTGTCCAGTTCTGTGAGATTTGATGGTTGTGGAACCAGCTGCCTGATGGCTCTTTTAACTTCGTCCCACAAATGCTCAATTGGATTGAGATCTGGTGATTGTGGGGGCCACCTAAGCAAGGTAAAGTCTCCCTCATGTTCTTGAAACCACTCCTGCACAATAAGAGCACCATGGCATGGCACATTGTCTTGTTGGAAGAAGCCATTTCCATTGGGATACGCCATCAACATGATAGGATGAACTTGATCAGCAACGATACTTAGGTATGTTGTGCTATTCAGACGTTGTTCCACACGAATTAAAGGGCCCAAATCATGCCAGGAAAACATGCCCCAAACCATAACACTGCCCTCACCAGCTTGAAGGGTTGTACTCATGCATGTGGGGTGCATGCTTTCTTGCTGTTTCCGCCAAATTCTCACTCTGCCATCTGCATGATGTAACTGGAAACGTGATTCATCGGACCACATGTCTTTTTTCCCATGCTCGACTGTCCAATCCTTGTGTTCCTGTGCGAATTGGAGACGTTTTATCTTGGTAACTGCAGACAGCAAAGGTGTTTGAACAGGCCTTCGGCTTCCATATCCCATACGATGCAGTGTACGGCTAATTTGCCTACAAACGTCAGGTGGTCATAATAATTTGGCCACTCAGTGTGTGTATAGTGTGTGTGTGTGTGTGTGTGTGTGTATACACTGAGTGGCCAGATTATTATGACCACCTGACGTTTGTAGGCAAATTAGCTATAATTTCCTGCTGAAGTTGCTAGAGGGCCAGATCATTATAAACGTCTGAATAGCACAACATACCTAAGTGTCGTTGTTGATCAAGTTCATCCTATCATGTTGATTGCGTATCCCAATGGAGATGGCTTCTTCCAACAAGACATGGTGCCATGCCACGGTGCTCGTATTGTGCAGGAGTGGTTTCAAGAACATGAGGGAGACTTTACCTTGCTTAGGTGGCCCCCACAATCACCAGATCTCAATCCAATTGAGCATTTGTGGGACGAAGTTAAAAGAGCCATCAGGCAGCTGGTTCCACAACCATCAGATCTCACAGAACTGGACAGCGCTATTCATCAGGCATGGTGTCAGATTCCTCGCGTCACCTTTCAACATCTCGTGGAGTCAATGTCAAGAAGAAACGCCGCAGTATTGAAGGCAAAAGGTGGCCCAACAAAATACTGATGGGGTGGTCATAATAATCTGGCCTGTCATAATAATCTGGCCACTCAGTGTATATATATATATATCTGATTTAATTCATTATAACTTCCAAGTGGAGCAGTAAAAAAAAAAAAAAAAAAGTTTAGCAATAATCTACTGCTAGCCAAATCATTGTACTATCTTGTCCTTTTGTATTTCTTTATTCTTCTTTGAGTTTCTTTCACATGTCTGCTATTTAAGAGCAGTGGAGTGAGTATCTTGCACGTAAGGATGTAAAAGATGGAAACAGAGCAGAACAGAAAGGATTTGTAATCTTCTGTTATCCTCCTAGGTACCTGATGTTTTTTATGAGCCCTTTTTCTAAACTCAGATATTCTTTCCTACATTTATGCATTTAGGCACATCTAACAGACAAATTGTTACTCCATGTAACTCTTTAATACCTTTGCTTTTTCCCCCTATTTTTTGCTACCATTGGAATTTCAGCAGCAATATTAAAAGGTAAAATGATTCCAAACTACAATATTAATAGTAGTAAGTATTTTCATTAATAGGCCTCAAATTATCTATATATGTGTGTGTATGTGTATATATACACACATATATATATGCATACACATGTACATATATATATAAATTTGGTTCAGTGGATGCCAAAATAGCATCTGATTTAATGTGATTAGATTATTTCATGTCTAGTCAGCTGTCCCATAATAATTCTTTATTGATCCTGTTATAACAAATTCTATAAATTAAATATCCCATGGAATAAGAATTCACACTAGTCTTTGTCCGTGCAAGAGTCACTATCAAAGACACTTTTGTTTTGGATGTATTACTTTTGATCACTTTTTATTTGAATATAGTACAAACTCTTTAAAATATTGACTTGTTTTTAAAACACGTATGTTTGTCAGGGTGCATGGGGTTAGGACTATGAGATAATTAAAAGCATGTGCTTCCTATAACAGAGATAGGATATAAGAAAAGATAAGTTCTACTACTACCAAAAAAATTTTATCTGAACAGTATTCCCTTAAGAACCTTGCAGTAAAGGGGTGTTATTTAAACTATAGTATGTATTTTTAAAATTTTGATAGTCTATACATTTATTGAACTGTGATTCTGTAATAGAGTGATCTTTTGACCAAAAGTCTTAAGAAAACTCTCCTTGTATAGCTCTTTCAAGAACTGTACAGCTATATTGACTAAATCAGCAACAAGTTGCAGTATAATTAATATTTATCGATATTAAAAAATCAGTGATAATAGTTCTTTGAAATCAACTACTTATTAGGGGAATATCCTAAGAAGTTAATGTTGGTAGTGGTTATCGTTCATTTGTCCTGGGCTATGACTGCATACGTCATGCTTGTCTTCCACATCAGAACCAGCCAGTGTATTGTTAAAAGTGTAGATTCCTGAGTTCTACAGAATATTGAATCAGACTCTCTGAAGGCAGAGGATCAGAATATGACATTTTAAATAAGCATCCCAGGTAGTTGTACACTTGGAGAAACACTGAACAAGACCAAGAGGTGCCGCTTTTTATCTCCCAACTATGTAACTTGACATACTGTACTATCGAGGGATTATACCAAATGATAGCATCCTTAAAATCTGAGCAATAAAATGACCTCCAGATTGCTCTTTCTAAAAATCTCATTCCACAATTACGTATTTCCCTTATAAAGTCACATTTTGATGAAGCAGTTCTTCCCACATATTAATACAGAATAGAAGCCCCAGAACTAGCCTCCACTCCCACCCCCACCTTCTGATTCAGATGATAAGGCCCAGCCATTCATATAGAACTATCTACAGTAGTCCTGTCTGCTAATAAGGATGTTCACATATCTTACTACAGGAGTCCCCTCTGATCTACAGTTTTGCTTTCCATAGTTTCAATTACCCTGGTCAACCACTCTCCAAAAATATTAAATAGAAAACTTCAGAGGTAAACAACTTCTAAGTTTTAAATTGCCTGCTGTTCTGAATGTGAATCACTCAGCATATTGATGCTGTGCACACTCCCTGCCCCTTAGTCAATAGCCAGATCAGTTATCAGATATTTTGAAAGCGAGAGACATTCGCATAACTTTTATTACAGTATATTGTTATAACTGTCCTATACTGTTATTAGTTATTGTTGTTAATATCTAACTGTGCCTCATTTATAAAGTAAACTCTTCATAGATGTGTATGTATAGGAAGAAAACAGTACATACAGGTTTTGGCACTCTCTGTGGTTTCAGGCACCCACTGGGGGTCTTGGGATGTATCTCCTGTAAATAAGAACTGTACACAGAGGTAAAGAATGAGTAATTTACCACGGGGAATGTTGTATCCACAGAAGTTTTAATGCCCTGTCTCTCATGTGTTCCATCTTTCCAAAATGCAAAGTCTATTAATACTAATGCTAATCCTGTGCCCACGAACAAAAGACTCTTTTCTTTTCTTTTTTTTTAAAATATATTTTATTGATTTTTTACAAAGAGGAAGGGAGAGAGATAGAGAGTTAGAAACATCGATGAGAGAGAAACATCGATCAGCTGCCTCCTGCACATCTCCCACTGGGGATGTGCCCGCAACCCAGGTACATGCCCTTGACCGGAATCGAACCTGGGACCTTTCAGTCCGCAGGCTGACGCTCTATCCACTGAGCTAAACCGGTTTCGGCGACACTGTGTTTCTTGCCTGTAGCTCCAACTTGAAACAGTTTACAATTAAGAATCAGTTTCCTTTTCTCAAGGGAAAAAGAGATCAGTATTTCAATACATTTTTATGTTTGCAGTTGCAGGTAGGCCCGCAGAGCCTTGACAGCTACAGGCAGATGTTTTCAGGGCTACTCCTATATTTGTGTCTGTCTGAGAAAGGCAGCCAGAGAAAATGGGGAAAGAAAAGAAAGGTCCCTGCTTTGGACTGGCAGTGTTCCCGTGTTAGCAACTTTTCCTAAGCCTTTCCCCCGCAAGTTGATTGGGGTAAGCGTGTTCTAAGGTTGGACTGTAGAAGCTGGGTTGCTGTGGGAAAGGAATTGATTCTGAGGAGAAAAATCTAGTCTGTATGCAGATGGCCTCATTGCAGGAAAGTAGCGCCGAAATCATTTTTGTTAGCGGCATTGATAGGTACCTATCGTCTCTGTCCAGCCATGTCATTTTTCTCATGCATTTTTACATTTGCAAAGTCACTTCCCTCTTTCTGGAAATGCCTCGCAATCCCTAAACGCCCCTGGTCCTATTACATTGTGCTGCTTTACCTTCTTCTCATCTCTGAATCTTTGCTTTCAGTAAAGAATGAACGACTGTAGAACATCCAGTCTTTAAGTCTCTGCCCAAAGTTCCCTTGTCCTTTCATTATTAAAACTTAATAATTTTGTACCTGCAGGGGCCTCAGTTGGTTGAACTATTATCCCATATACCACAAGGTTGCGGGTTCAATTCTTAGGGCACACACCTAGGTTGCCGGTTTGATTTCCCATCAGGGTGGGGATGAGAGACAACTGATTGGTGTTTCTCACATTGATGTTTCTCTCGCTCTCTTTCTTCTTTCATCTCTAAAAAAATTAGTAAGAACATATCCTTGGGTGAGGATTAAAAATATTTAATCTTCTTTTGCTTCTGTGTTTCTGATACACCATTCCTAAATACACATATAAATGGGAAAATGTTGTTAAATATTAAGACTTTCCATCCAGGAACTTATCCTTACTTATAAATTTAATCAGATCTTCTTTTACATTTTCATTAAGATTTTATAGTATTAAGCAATATGGGCCATGTATCTTTCATAATAAATTAAGTTCTATATTTTGTAGCTTTTATTTTTATTATGAAAAGTGTACTTGCTACTATAGAGGGATCATTGGTATATATTTTATTTTTACCTTCCTTATCAAACTATGTTAATCGTATTTTTTAAAATTAAGAGTTGCTTTGAGTTTAAGTATACAACACAATCTAAAAACAATTTGATCTTTTCTTTTTCTATATTTACAGTGACTATTCTGTTATCCTGTTGTGTTAGCTAGATTTCTAAAATAATGTTGTATAGTAGGTAACCTAGGGTAATTTTTTGTTTTACCTAAGTACAATCTTGATTTCTAGATGGCATAGCACTGCACCTTTCCCTTTCCTTCTAAACTAGATTATTGCCATCTAGAAACAAACTTGAAGGTTTTTTGTTGTTCTCCCTAGAATTTAGGGTAACCTAGCATCTATGAGCTCTAAGCAGCCCTGCTTCCTCTTCCTTGGGCACCCCAATTTTCCTAATTGTCTCAGTTAAAATGCACCTTTTTCACAGCTTAGAAAAGAATGTGTGGGCCCACCCCCCCTACCCCTGCCTCCCTCAGCACATACACCCTGAGAATGTAAAACTTCCCTAGTCAGGTAATCCTACCTAATCAATTGGTGTGTATGGACCACCCACCTATACCTGCCTGCATGCCTGTGTTTCCTTCAGTTTTTCTGGTTTTAGAATTGGCCCATCTCCCCCACTTCTTTGACTAATTCCACTTATTTTATAAATCTCAGCTCAAATGTCACTTTTTAAAAAAAATACCTTTCAAGTGTCACTTTTTGAAGGAAACATTCAAATCTCCTTTTCCCTTTTTTAGAAATTAAATATGTATTGTTGAAAGTATTACATATGTCCCCTCCCTTTCTCCATTGACCCCCTCTAGCCTATCCCCACCACGTACCCCAGGTCGTCACACCCTGTTGTCTGTGTCCATGGGTTATGCATATATGCATACAAGTTCTTTGATCTCTTCACACCCACCCTCCCCCACTTTTCCTCTGAGGTTCCAAAGTCTGTTCTGTGCTTCTATGTCTTCAAATCTATTTTGTTCATCAGATTCCACATATGAGTGAGATCATGTGTTAGTTGTCTTTCCTCTGACTGGCTTATTTTGCTTAGCATAATACTGTCCAGGTCCATCCGTGCTGTCTCAAAGGGTAAGAGATCCTTCTTTTTTACTGCTGCATAGTATTCTATGTTATAAATGTACCACACAGCGTTTTTATGCACTCGTCTATTGATGGGCACTTGGGCTGTTTCCAGATCTTAACTATTGTAAATTGTGCTGCTATGAACATAGGGGTGGCATACATTCTGTTTGGTGTTTCAGGTTTCTTAGGATATATTCCTAGAAATTGCTGAGTCAAATGGCAGTTCCAAGTTAATTTTTTGAGGAAACTCCATACTGCTTTCCGTAATGGCTGCACTACTCTGCATTCCAACCAGCAGTGTACTAGGGTTCCCTTTTCTCCACATCCTCGCCAAAACTTGCCATTTGTTGATGATAACCATTCTGGCAGATGTGAGGTGATACCTCATTATCATTTTAATTTGCATCTCTCTGATGATCAGTGACTTCGAGCATTTTTTCATATGTCTCTTGTCTGTATGTCTGTTTTGGAGAAGTGGCTATTTAGGTCCTTTGTCCATTTTTTAATTGGATTGTTTATCTTCCTTTTGTTAAGTTATGTAAGTTCCTTATATGTTTTGGATATTAACCCTTTATCAGATGTATCATTGCCAAATCTGTTCTCCCAGTGGGCTCCCTTTTTATTTGTTGATGGTTTCTTTTGCTGTGCAGAAGTTTTTATTTTTGATGTAGTCCCATTTGTTTATTAGTTTCCTTTGCCTAGGGAGTGCTCGGCAAACTGCAGCTCACGAACCACAATGCGGGTTCTTTGCCCCTTGAGTGTGGCTCTTCCACAAAATCCTGACTTCCGCACATGGGCCACGAAGTTTCAATCACACTGTATGTGCACGCCTGCACTTGGTATTTTGTGGAAGGGCCACACTCAAGGGGCCAAAGAGCTGCATGTGGCTCTCGAGCCGCAGTTTGCCGAGCACTGCCCTAGGAGATGTATCTGTAAACACATTGCTACAAGAAATGTCAGATTTTGCTGCCTATGGTTTCTTCTAGAATTTTTATGGTTTCAAGACTTACATTTAAGTCTTTTATCCATATTGAGTTTATTCTTGTGTATGATGGTTATTGGTGGTCTAGTTTCTTTTTTTTGCAGGTATCTGTCCAATTTTTCCAACACCATTTATTGAAGAGACTATCTTGACTCAATTGTATGTTCTTGCCTCCTTTGTCAAATATTGAGCATAATGGCTTGGGTTGATTTCTATTCTATTCCACTGAGCTATATGCCTATTCTTGTGCCAGTACCAGGTTGTTTTGATTACAGTGGCACTAAGAACATGTGTCAGAGTTCTCCATTTACTTTGTGATTCTGTGGAAATGTCATTTTCTCCAACTGATAAGATCCATAATAAGATCCATAGGGGCATATCTGGTGTTTGTTTTTGCCTGTTTTACCCTTAGCACCTTGCACAGTGCCTGCCCCGCAGTGGACGCTCAGGAGGTGTTTGCTGACCTGCAGAGATGGGGGGAGAGGAGGGTGCAGCAGGTGGCCATAGCCGCTATTTAAACACTTTGTCAGAACCCTAAGTAAAATGCCTCTGATGCTTTCATTATGTATTCATTACAAGAGGGTTTAACTTACTAGTTAGCCCTCCAGTGGATTTTAGGGTGATTATAGTTTATAATTCTTAGACCTACAAAATGAAACAGATAACTCAGTTGTTGTCTTCATGAAAATACTCTATTTAACCAATCACATTAATGCCTTTAAATCATCCAACCTTTTGTATTATCTGCATTTTCATGGCTTACTGAGTGGGGATTTCACTTTCCAAAAGACTTTTATCTTAAAATATAGCAATGATATGTGCTGTTTAAAATTCTATTTAATATGTAATATGTTCTCATATGCAAGCTTCCCAGACTTTAATAAATTTTTGAGCTACAATGCAAAATGTATATGCATTTTAATAGTATTATTTAGTGTATATCTTGGCATTTACTCACATCCATTGAAGGCAGTCTTATCTGTTATTTGGAAACATGTTTATTTTTTTCTTGTCACATTATAAACCAATAATTTAATATTACTGTTTAAAAAAAAACATATTAATGCAGAACAGTAAACTTTATTTTTTCATTTGATTGTGAAACCCAGTATGCTTTTGAACGTGTGATACCCTCTTAGGGTATAAGTTTCATGAAACTCGTTTCTTTCATACACAGATCCTGAAACGGAAAATGAGTCTCAGAATCAGAGTGCTGAACAGACCACACCAGGCTCTCAGGAGGTGGATTTGGTGGATGGAGCGTCTCCGGAGGACAGCCTCTGGACTCTCACCCAGAATCATCATCCCCAGCAGCTACGGACAGCGCCGCTGCAAGCGCTTCTCCTTCCCAGAATTCTGATCCCACGGAAAACCATGGGCCTACAGGCTTTGGTGGTGAATGTACATATTTAGATGAAGATGAAGAACAGTCAGAAACTGAGGAAGATTCCAGTCCCAATGTCAGCTGGGGTAAGGAGGCCCAGCCCGTGCACCCCATACTAGCAAACTGGAATGAGGATATGGAAGCAATTGAAATGATGGAGAAGGAGATGCAGAAGAAGGGCGAACTATGACTCACTGAAGAATCGGTGGTAGGTATTTAAAAAGAGTAGGTAAACTGTGGTTAATAGACACCCTCATACTAAGCAGGCTCTCCAGTGGGAGGCTTTAGTATGGTAACGAGCAACCGCATTCTGACTGGGATAGTTGGTTATAGGAGCCTGGAGCTTGCTATGCTAGAATTGACCTTGTTTCAAACTGTCCCATGAGAAATGGAAACTCACAGTCCCCTCGATGGCAGCACCGCACCCCCCTGCAGTGCCTCAGGCCGTGAGAAGACTACTGGCGGACGCGCCTCGGATCCAGGTTTCTGCAGGCTCTGGACAGACGAGAAACAGATCCGGTTAGTAGTGGGGTGGGGAGCAGGAGCTCGTGTTGTTTCCTAATTAAAGGAAGCGTGACACTCTAGGTTTGGGGGTTAGAGTCACCGACCATATTGTGGGCATCCTGGTTGTGCTGCCTTCACAGAAACACTCAAAGTGACCTAAGTGGTTCTGAAGCAAGTGTGTTCACGGTGAGACCAGTCTTGCTCATCGCTTTCACTTGCTTCCTTGTGTAACAGATGATCAAGATGACTTGATTCCCCCCCCCCCCCAACAATGTCCTTTTCATTTAAACCAAAGGTGAAGCCAGTGTGCTTTCTCAGTGAGTTCTCTGCATAAGGACTAATCATTGGGACCAGGTACAAAGGTCATCTGCTATATTGTGGAAATTGGTTACTTAGTACTTTTGAAAAATGGAGCAAGGGAGAAACTAATGTTGCAATAAGAGCTGGCCATGGGGCCTTCCATAGGGAAAGCTGTGACTGCTCTGAAGTGGAACTTAGTGCTAGATCCTTACAGGGTGAATGACAAACCTTTTCCAGTTCGTTCTCTTAGAGGCGATGCCCTCTAGTCATCAGCCTTACTCCATCCCAGGTTTAGTATGCAGTTTGAGCCACAAGGCCCAGGTGACTGATAGCTTAATACATTTTGTTCCATTTCTGTCTTAGGAAGCCATGGTCATGCTGTGGTAGTGATCCAAAATCCTGGGGTAACTCTGCTTTCTAAAGTTGTACCTAAGGAGCCTGTCACATTTTCTGTTGAATCATGGTTTTTAAGTTTTGCTTTTTCTTTTTAAAACAAATATTCCTTCTGATATGGACTTGAAAATTAGTCTATGGTAACCTGTGTAGAAAACTTACACAGTACCAACTAACATGCAGCCATATAGCTTAATAAATTTTTTTTTTTTGGTGGCAGTCTGGAGCTGGCCACATTAAATTTTTTGTTGTTGATATCTGTAGACAGTCCTGTAGTTGAAATCATAACTTTATTCATTTTATTTATTTTTTTAATTTACCTGAATGTGTTCTAAAGGCATATTTTTTGTGAGACTTAATTTTCTTTCTCTTTACCATGACATTACATATAACCTTCTCCTAAGACAGTTTTGAGGTACTGACGAACTGAAACTGTGTATGAAGCTGTTAAAAAAAACAGCAGTGCTGTATTGTACTTGTGTATATTCATGTACAGTGTGTCTTAGATCCAGGTAGATGTATTCTTTTATAAGAGGAAAAATCGCTGCTTTCAGAAACTCCAGCTAAACTTAATTGGGTCAGTGAACCATAAATCTAATAGAGAATTCACTTAGGGGGTGTAGATTAGTATACAAGACCTTCATTGGCCATTGATTAAACCTGACACCAAAATGGATATTTTTTAGTCACTGCATGTGAAATTTGGCGTAAGAAGATAGAACTATAATACATAGAGTTCACGGCGGGATAGACATAGTGCTTTCTTCACTTTAATTGTAAAGCTGCCAAAATAGCTGAAGCTTAATTACTTGCCTTGATTTATAGGATTGGGGCTTGGCAAAAGGGAGCAGATGTTCCTCTAAGACTTTGATTCCAGAAGCCTTATATTTAGTGATTTGATTTTGTTTGTAGCTCAGAGCTATTGTTGTTTAAATCTCACTTTTCTAAGTTATCAAAACAACATTTTTTTCTCCCCAGCAAATATTTTTGTGGCATACAAGGAAAAGCCAGCTTATTGCCACTCTACCTTCCTTTGGCCATTAGGGGGAGCTGTTGCCATTCATTGAGATCTAGAAGCAAATTGCTTAGGAAAGTGAATCCTTAATAAGACAGGAAAGAAAATTAAGTTACACTCAGCGCCCAGAAGGAATTATACTTGATTTTTTCCCCATTTAAGAAAAGGTATAACTCTAACATTGCCTCTACATTTCTTATTTGACATACTGCCATGAAGTTAGTTTTTCAGTTCATTAAAAAATTCCAACAGCATTAGAGTTTTTTTTTTAAATACCTTCTATAGAGATTTTATTTACTTCCTAAAGATTCGGGGGAGTCTATGAAACCCTGAATTTTAGAAACATCTGGTCTACCTCAGTTAACTGTTGACTGCATAGAAATAGAGCTGAAGTGATCACCACAGCCATAAAATTGACTAAGAAGGATTTATACAATGTTTACAAACCTGGAATCAAGTAAGGCTTTTATCTGAAAGTTATTAGAGTAAGTATTTAATTCAGGTATTTAAGTTTAACTTGTTTACCAACTAAAAATAGCTGTAGTTTTTTCTGCTTATCAGAGTCCATTGAAATGATATTCCCTTAATCTGCAATACCTTATTTCCCATAAAGTTTTAGATGTGAAAGAATTGTAATTTACTAGTTTGGCGCAGGATATTTTGTTGGGTAGGTTTTCTTTTTAACCTTAATAGGCTTCCAACAAGAACATAGTTATTGTTTCAGAACAAATAATTTTTGACATTATACTTTTTACTTCACAGTATTAAAGAGTAAAATGAAAAATTGTGCACGCTCTGATAATTACTCCCTCGAGAATTTGTCTCAAATTACTGTCACACAGCCCTTTTCATAGTAAAACCAGCATTTGTTCTCTCACCAAACCCCATGCCAAATTCATCATAAAGAAAGCTCAGCATAAGTAATTCAAATAGTGCTTATAATTGTTTATTAGGTGGGGGCATTTAGTGAATATTCCAACCGGTCGTTTTCTGCACAAGGCTTTAGTCAGAACATAGAAAAAAAACATTCTGTGAATGAAATATTGTATGTTCAGATTTTATAAGAGACATTTTTAAAAGCCCAATTTACAGCCGTATATTTTCTTATGATGTAATTTATGAAAAAGATGTCTGTACTAACAGGTGCTGTAACACTACTGTTGTTGGATTTTATTGTTTGGTGATAAATGATAAATGTATACAATATTTCTAAGGGAAACTATGTACTGTGATGTAAAAGTCTGGGCAAAATGTATATAATCCTTGTACATAAATGTGTATCTGATTATAATTACTGATTGTAAAGATTTAATAAAACATGTAAATATCCTGGTCTAGTTTTAATTTGAACTTTTAGTGTCACTTTGCATATGTTTATACTTTGATCTCTTTTAAAATGTTTTCTTTTCAAGTCATCTTTCCTTTAATTTCTATATTACCCCAGGGGAGTAAATGTAGGGGACATCTTAGGGTAAAGAAACACAAACGTACCTTCAACAGCTCCGCCAGTGCCAAGGACCCTCCGAGTAGAGTTAGTGATTCAGTGTCAATATTGTCATCAAAGGTAGCACTCACCTCAGTTCCAGTGACATTTTCTATTAGCAGCCACTTCCAGATCCTGTGCTTTTCATCTGTACTATTTCAGGGCTTCTGAGCTCAGATATCTTGAAAGACCTAATAATAGTAGTATTTATTGATCATTACTTTCTTGAAAGATGAGCAAACAAAGACTTAAGTTCTAAGCATCTTACCCCGAGCCCCACCTTTGGTGACTTGGCATTGGGAGCCCGTGTTCCTTCCAGTGTGCTGTCCTCTCCCTTCCTTTGCCAGGCCTCACCCCTCCTCCCACCTTCATTTCAGTTTCGACTCACCTTTCTGTGCTCGGCCACGACCTTCCCAGCGGGGACTGACATTTAGAAATGGTAGCATCCATTCGTAGGTTCTCTGGGCATTCTTTCCGGTCCGTGTGCCTCCATTCCTGTAGGACAAAGCACCAATATTTCAGGAAAGAGCTAAAGGATCCATAGTAGCTCTTGGAAGATTTCAAAGGTGAGCTTGCTTTTCGGAATAAAGCAAACTTAAGAGGTCTTTCTAAGAGAAGTAATTTACTGGTTAATGGGGAAGGATGTGTCGGCACCTGTCTGCTAGTAAGGCTTATCTTTCTCAAAGCCTTCTAAGCCTGGAGGTCTATAGTTTTTATCCACTCCCCTCCACAGAGCAAATGGGAGGCCGCTGACAGACCCTTGGGCTTGTCTTAACACATGGCGGGTGGATCACGAGAATTCTCGTCTTTTCTAAGACTTGTGACCAGTCACAAGAATACTTTACAAAGATATTAGCTTGTAAGAACATGTAATAAATAACTTCAAAATGCAGTGGGTGTTTAATTTTCAAGCGTGCCTTTAACATTTCTGTAAAACCTTTTTTGTATTCGTTCAATAGAAACTTATCTGGCCGCTGGGTAAAGCTAGGAATAAAACTGCTGGTCCATAATGTGTTAAGTCACAGGATGTACTCGCCATCCAGATGACAGGAAAAATACTCAAAAGTTCTACGGATCCGTTTTTGTTCATCCAGAGACAGAGAAGCATCGATCAGACCGTTAAACCTCAGAGGGGAAGGTAGGGGAGGGTCGGGGTAAGGGAGAGAGCAACCAAAGGACTTGTATGCATGCATATAAGCCTAGCCAAAGGACACAGACACCAGGGAGGGTGAGGGCATGAGTGGGGGACAATGGGGGGATAAGGACACATAGGTAATACCTTAATCAATAAAAATAAAAAAGTTCTACGGTATGTTAGAGAACATCTCTACCCAATAATGGGATGGGATTTCTTAAAACAAAAACAATGAAACCCTCCCTCACATGGTTGAGGAGAGAACCAAAGTCCCTAAAAAGTAATCCAAGGTAGAGGAAATTAATACTAAGGAACTGGCTGCTACTCTCCCCACCACCACCCTGGTGCTGGAGTTTTGCAGCAACATGAGGCACATCTTACATAGGAATCCCCACCTTTATCTTTTCTGAACCTCTAAGAAAAGCCATTGACCTTAGGTCCAAGAGGCAAGCTGACAATCACTGCAGGATAGCTTGTCTTATACTCCCTTTCCTCATTCTCCCATCCTGCTTCTTCCCTTTGCAGAGTAAATCAAATTCAGGAGTCAGTCCCAGCTGCTACCTTTAGAAGGGCTAATCTGCTTATTCAGCCACTCCTGCCTTACTGAGGCATTAAGCTAACTGACTTCCAGTCCCAATTGCCTTATTGTATCATTATAAAAAAAATTTTAAAAGTCCTCTGATCTCAGTCTCTAATCATTACTTCCTATTCTCTCAACTCGTCCAGTTGGGTAATTCTTTAGGACCTCCATCCAATCCATCACCCTTCGCTTCCCAACCAACTCACCATTAACCTCTCTTCCTGTTGAATTAACTTGGCAAAACTTTAAATCTTATTAATCCCAACTACTCACTGATTCTGTTAGAACTGGATGAAATCACACCTCCACTGCTAACTGGCCTCACTTTAAATCATGCCCACATATCTCAAATGAGATTCAATACTTACCCAAATTCCAACCACATTTCTCTAGCTAATTTATTTTCCCACTCTGAGAAAATTTTCATACCACCTTTCTTTTCAAATATCCCATATTCCTTGCCTGTCACTCATCTGGAGATGTCACCCCATAGTTCATTGAAAAAAAAAAAAAACAACACAGATGAGAATGACTTTAACTACCAACCCATCTGCCTGCTGAGTCCATATGACTTGAGGGAACAGAAGCAGTAATCACAAAACTCCCACCTAACAAATCCCTGGTCCAGGTGACTTCCCAAGGGAGTTTTACCAAACATTCAAAGAACAACTAGCACCTACCCTCCTCAAACTATTCCAAAAAATGTAAGAGGAAGTAACACTCCCAACCTCTTTTTACGAAGCCAGCATTATCCTAATGCCAAAACCAGATAAAAACACTACAAAGAATGAAAATTACAGGCAGTATTCCTGATGAACACAGATGCTAAAATCTTCAACAAAATATTAGTAAATTGGATCTGGCAATATATTAAAAAGATCATAACCATGACCAAGTGGGATTTATTCCAGGGATGCAAGGCTGGTACAATATTCACAAATCAATAAATGTGATCCATCACATAAACAAAAGATAAAAACCACCTAATCATATAAACAGATGCAGAAAAAGCATTTGACAAAATCCAGCACCATTTTTTTTGATAAAAACTCTCAGTAAAGTGGGAATAGAGGAATCATACCTCAATATAATAAAGGCCGTATGTCACAAACCTATAGCCAACATAATACTCAATGGGCAAAAACTAAAAGTGTTTCCCTTAAGAACAGGAACAAGACAAGTATGTCCGCTTTCACCACTCTTATTCAACATAATACTGGAAGTCCTAGCCACAGCAATTAGACAAGAAGAAGAGCTAAAAGGCATCCAAATTGGAAAGGAGGAAGTAAAACCGTCATTATTCTGATGGCATGATATTGTACATAGAAAAACCCTAGACTCCACCAAAAAATACTACACTTAATAAATGAATTCGTCAAGGTAGCAGGATACAAAATCAACATCCAGAAATCAAGGGCATTTTTATATACCAATAATGAACTCTAAGAAAGAGAAACTAAGAAAGCATTGCAACAACAAAAAAATAAGATACCCAGGAATAAACAACCAAGGTAAAATACCTGGACTTGGAAAACTATAGGACATTGAAAAAAGAAATAGAGGAAGAAACAAATGGAAGCATATACCATGTTCGTGAATTGTTAGAATTAATATCATTAAAATGCCTACTAGTATACTACCCAAAGGAATCTATAGATTCAATGCAACCCCCATTAAAATACCAATGGCATACTTCACAGTGCTAGAACAAACACTCCAAAAATGTATATGGAACCATAAAAAACCCCGAATAGCTGCAGCAATCTTAAGAAAGAAGAATAAAGTAGGAGGGATCACAACACCGGATATCAAACTATACTACAAAGCCATTATAACCAAAACAGCCTGGTACTGGCACAAGAATAAGCATATAGATCAATGGAACAGAACAGAGACCCCAGAAATGGACCCACACCATTACAGTCAGTTAATATTTGACAAAGGAGGCAAGAACATACAATGGAGTAAAGACAGTCTCTTCAACAAATGCTGCTGGGAAAAATGTACAGACACATACAAAAAGACGAAACTAGACTACCAACTTACACCATATACAAGAATCAACTCAGGATGGATAAAAGACTTGAATATAAGGTATGAAACCATGAAAATCTTAGAGGAGAGCATAGGCAGTAAAATCTCAGACATCTCATGTAGCAATATGTTTATGGATACATCTCCTAGTGCAAAGGAAATTAAGGAGAAAATAAACAAATGCACTACATCAAACTAAAAAGCTTTGTACAGCAGAAGAAACCATTAACAAAATAAAAAAGGAACCCACTCTATGGGAGAACATATTTGCCAGTGATACATCTAATAAGGGGTTAATTAATATCCAAAATACATAAAGTACTCATATAACAACAAAAGGAAGACAAACAATCCAATTAAGAAATGGGCAGAAGACCTAAATAGTAGACATTTCTCCAAAGAAGACATACAAATGGTCAAGAGAAATGAAAAAATGCTCAAAGTCACTAATCATTAGAGAAATGCAAATTAAAACCACAGTGAGAGATCACTTCACACCTGTCAGAATGGCTATCATCAAAAAATCAACAAACAACAAGTGCTGAGGAGGATGTGGAGAAAAGGGAACCCTATTCACTGCTGATGGGAATGCAGACTGCTGCAGCCACTGTGGAAAACAGTATTGAGTTTCCTTAAAAAATGGAACTTTCCTTTGACCCAGTGATCCCACTTTTGGGAATATATCTTAAAAACCCCAAAATACCAATCGGAAAGAATATATGCACCCCTATGTTCATAGCAGCGTTATTTACAATAGCTAAGATTTGGAAACAGCCTAAGTGTCCATCGGTAGATGAGTGGATAAAAAAGCTGTGGGTCATTTACACTATGGAATACTCGCAGGCTTTAAAAAAAAAAAAAAGAAAAAAAAGAGGGGTCTTTTACCCTTGGGACAGCATGGATGGACCTGGAGAATATTATGCTCACTGAAATAAGCCAAACTGAGAAAGACAAATATCATATGATCTCACTTATTTGTGGAATCTAATGAACAGAATGAATTGACCAACAAACTAAGACCCAAAGCATGGAGGCATGGAACAGACTGACATACTTCAATATGGGGTTAATGGAATGGAAGAGATAAACCAAAGAACTTATATACTATAGGC